AAATTATGCGAAGTACAAAGTTAGAAATAAAACTCAACATGTAGTTTAACTACACTATTTGTAAAAATTTTTGTGTGAGACAAGTACTTTTAAAAAAGCCCAGAGGTCTGAGAGGAAGGGGTCTGAACCCCCATACCCTTCCCCTGGGTCCCTAATGCACAAACCGACGCAAGATATATTGTGGTAGTACTATTCAGGTATGTTAGAGAAGATTGCCACTAACTAATATGAACATTGTCTTATATTTCTTCCAGTACCAGTGCTGTATCATGAGTTAACCCAGCCTCACTAAAAGTTTGTTCTACTTCGGATAACTGTTTTCTAGGATACGTCGTTAATATGATATGACGAGAGGGCGAATAGCCCAGCCAATCAGCATATGTAAACAACACCTGTAAATTGAAGAGTAACAAGTTGGGAATAAAACAGGTTATATGAATAAAAAACGGTCAAATCTCTAATCAAAAAGGGACACTCTTGTAAGCGGAAAACTCAGCTACCGATCACCTCGACAAAAACCCTTTGAAACCTCATATTAACTCTGCATGTGCACATTCAGATAAGTTAGCCTGCACCAGACTCTCGAAACAACTGTTGTAGTTCTGTCGTTCGTCTCAGCTGTCTCTTAGAGCCTATAAGAGGTTGTCGAAAAAGAAATCTGTAATCTTTGAGCGTTAAGAGATACACATCTCGTCTACTTTAATTTGGGCTTCCATGACGAAATGGCTGGTCTTATTTTTCGTTCGAAATCCTTTAGCAAGTTATGGCGTGCTGCAAAGCGTTTTGAAAGGTAACCTGCACACAGGCAGTGGTAGATCGACTCAAACGTGTGTGATTTATTGATAACATCCGAATTTCCAAGAAGAATCTGATAACCCTTGAAAAATTATAAAAGATCCCTGTGGACATTCTGGTGAATACCTAAGGTTCATAAAAATAGCAGTGTCTAATGAAAAATGTCCTGTAAATCTTTGATCGACGTTTTAAATAAATACGGACGTGAGGAACATGCATAATGCGTCTGACTTGACAGGTATACTAGATTCAACATAACAAACCAAAATCTAAGAGGGCGTCAAGTAATTGTTACCTTAATTTGGGACTGCACTGCACATCTCCTCTTCTTAACAGTTCCATCAGGACAACGAAGGGCAACAGTTATTACCTGATAAAATAAAAGTAAACATTGCTTATAAGCCTTTCATTTTTGTTAATGAAGATATTTTGGTTAAAACTTCTAAGAACAACAAGCTCATGCTGTTACCCCATTCTCCTTAGGATCTGGCTCTTCAGGCAACTGTAATAAAGTAAAATAAATCATCTGTAATTTTTTTTAGGTTAACACATGTGCACCTTATGTTGCAAATGAAAATAAGAGAAAATGTAACCTACACCTGATATCCATGAACTATACAAATATCACAAAAAAATTGAATACAATTAAACAAACTAACCAAATGTGTGTTGAAAAATACACAGAGTCTGGTGTAACAATGTCCTAAATTACATGGAATCATGCAGTTGTAATTACAGTATAAACTGCAGGTACATTTATATACTAAGACAAAAACTTTTTTCTCTAAATTTCCCTGAATAACTCAATAAGGTCACAAGACTAAAGGAAATGATCACCAACCAAAGAAGCCCTTGATTGTACAACAAATTCCCCTTGTCAGTACCTTAGGAAATTTATAGGGGAGAATATGGAGAATGTGTATAGTGATGTTAGGATGTAAAGGGTTAATGTTACACTTCTTCATGTGGTACATTAAGAACAGTATAAACAAAGATTACCTCACGACTCTGTCTGTTTCTTCTTTGACACACAGAATCTGTCTCAGTCTGTTCTTTTCTAGACATGCACCCATTGTCAGTGAAGTTTGAAGTACTTTCATTATGTGGAATCTGTTCTGTGTTTGTTCCTTCTTCTGAGCTGGGATCTTCATGCAGCAAAAACTCTTGGGATAAAAAGTCTTCTTCAGCTTGTTCTTCAACATGTCCCTTCTGATCAAGCAAAAAGCAATTTTGGGAAAAAATTACTGTCACTGTAGTCTTTAAGGGGATTAACCTCAACAATTCAACACTTTTTAAAGATAATAACAACAAAAGCAACTTAGCTTAAACCACAGACTTAATCATACATAAAAATTCTGTTAAGAGTCACTCAGGCCATGCACTTTTTATTACATCCACTCTGGTAAACCAATCCTTTAAGAGCTTAAGACTCATGCTGAAAATTCATATTTGAACTTGTTTGAATACTATTAATATAACCCTCTATTCTTTTTATTATAATTCTACTTTGTGTATTCAAAATACACTCAAAACATATGGAGTTTAAAAAACCTTTTAACATACAGCTGTAATGCACATAAAACTCAACTGGCAAATCTTACCCCTAATCTTTGACCCTTTCCTCTCCACCTGCTGTCAAACTTGTAGAACTCTGCCTCTCTTTTTGCTTTAAGAATCTCTTCTCTTGGATCTAAAATGTTCTCTCTATAGATGTCAACCTAGAGAAATTCAAATGTCTCTCAATTAGCTTTGTGGATGCAAGTGTAAATGTAGAAAAGAACACAATATTAATCCAGTGGACACTAGAATGCAGCAATTTAACACAATTTCAGTGAAATTATAAATTGCTACCTATTGAAGTTTCATTCTAACAAGCTTTGTTTAATATGTTCAAGTTTGATTCAGCTCAGTGGTTGATGGGGAATGTTCCACTGTAGTATGATAGAGTTTGCTTTCGAGAAATTATTGTTGTCAATGTTTCCTTCCATTATTTTTTATTTTCATCTCTGCCACCACGCGATTTGTTATGTTCATATTAATTTACCTTATTATCTTGCAGGAATTGTTTCATTTCCAACGCTCTTTGCCTTCTTTCTTTCAGTTCCGTTTCAGAATATTTTACTAATAAAGACAAAACATGCGCAAATAATTCTATGGTAATCTACTCATAAGTTTAGTATTATTGAGGATATCAACCGTATTTTAAAGGAATTACACTAATTGTTGCAAGTGATTCAGTAAGTTTAAAATAAACAGCTTTACGGGTGCTTAAATCGCATTAATTACGACTTCAACACCTGGCAAATGAGCAACAAAAATAGTCATACGTAGCATCAGCCATGCCACGAAAAAAATTACGGATATTTTGTTGGGATACATCCAATCCCATCTAGGATACAATGAAACTTGACAATGCGCACGCTTTGTTGGCAAACTGATCTTGAGACAGTTGATCACATAAACAGATATTCACGTTTGTACACGTAGGATACCTTGACTGGTCTGTTGTTCGTCGGGAGAATTATGGAAAAATTTTCCCAACAAAATACTAATCGGCGAGCCAAACAAATGCATTAGGAAGGTCAGGAACCCAAAGCCGATGAACATCCATAAGAGAATCATTTTTAGAGTAATTGCGTTAAGTCCACCCCACACAGCCAGTCCTAAGACACCACAACCAGCGATGAGGACTATCCATGTTTTGTCGAACGCCATATTGTTGACAAATTAAAGGAGCCTGGAGAGAAAACAAGTTTCCAAGCTCACTCAAGCTCACCTCTTAGGAGACCGGTGAAGAGAGTCTCGTTTCCGTGTCTAATGTCATTATCTCAACATGGCGACTCTAAGCAGAGTATTGAGGAAAAGTTTGTTGCAAAATTCACTTTTTCAAGCCTCTAAATGTTTAGGAATTCGAAATTTTTCGGTGGATGTAGACGATAATGTATCAGGGATCACATCTGAGCAAAAACAGGTGCGTTTTAAAACATTTGTTGCCATCAAAACACCGTTCGTTGGTAACCACGTCTTTTCTTGCGTGTAAAGTCGTTCGATCTTACGCAATACTTGACACACCTCCGACACACCTCCAGTCCTCTGCTCTCAAGCCTGATTTCCTCAAGGTTGAAAAATCTCTTACGATCTTATGTTTTTCTGTTTTTCGGTGGATAAAACAAATTCGCCAACCTCGTTTCTGGCAATTGCTCAAGAAAAAATTTTGAGGTACATGTGTATGCAGAAAATATATTCGTTCCCTCTGGTCGTTTTGGTCACTCACAAAGCTTCCCACCCTAAATCGGTTAAATTCCAGAAAAGCAAACAATTTAAAAATGGTAGTTAGGTGATATCCTCTACCATTAAAGGGAGACAGCCGAAAAAGGACAAAAAACACAATCTAACTTATTGTGTTAAATGCCAATATCAAATAGCTTCATAATCTTTGATCAGCGTGGGCAGAAGTTTCTCAGGACATACACGTAGTAAAACGTTCACTGAGGCTACGATAACAATTCTACCACATTGGAGTATGAATTTGATATTTTCTCGAACAATGCTTCATTTTGTTTTAGAAATGAACAACGTTTTTAGACTCGTTATTTGAACACCTGTTAATTCTGATCCACATCTTCATGGTGTTGTTGTAAACGAACAGTACTTTAGTGAGAAAGGTTTCTCAACTTCATTACCTATTTACAGTCTGTAAGTCTGATCTTTAAAGTATTTGTCTTTTCAGTCAACATGACTCTTGATTTCAGGCGACACACTTTGTGTTTACATCAGTTAAAACAAATAAATTCCATATTGCTGCAGGTCTGTACAGTAATAGGTCACAGAAGATGTCAAAATGTGGTAAGAACATCAGTGACATATGTGTACTTGGCCGCATCATGTGTGCCCCTTTTTTGTTCTTACCACATTTTAACATCATTTGTGATCTACTGTGGAACAGAAATGCAGCAACATGGAATCTATATATTAATTGCAGAGTAGATCATATTACTCAGAGAAAAGAAGTGAGAGGTTGTTCCCTCACTCAAAAAAGGAATAGAAATTTTATGACAGCCAGAGTCCTTGGTTTTTTACATGTAGCTGATTCAAATTCATGCAGCCTGTAAACAAGTTCTTTATATAATCATGGAAATGTAAGCTATATGAAACTGTTATATTCTTTCCAACAGTTAAGAGAGACGGTCAGCAACTTCTGTCAGAAGGAATTAGCCCCATATGCTGATCAAATTGATAAAGAAAATAACTTTTTACAGTTAAGGGTAAGTTCACCAGTGAGAAGACCATCTACTGATCTATGTGATTTCATGATTTGTATTTTGTCTATACAGTTAATTCTTTCTAAAAGTGGCACCCCAAGACAAGTGTTTATATGAAGGATGGAACTTTTCTTTTAGTTGGTTAATCAGCTATAAGTTGATGAGGCAAATGAATTGCTACAGTAAATTTTGAAAAGATAATCATAGCTACTGCAGATTACCTTAATAGGGAAACCTCCACTCCATCAGAAAAGTTGTACATATACAAACTGTATCTTTAATTATTTTTAAGTGTCAAAGGTTTTCATACATTATACCTATAACTATGGAAATAGAAGTTACTGTACTTAAAATGAGTAATGAGTACTTCAGCACTGTAAATGTTCAATACAATTATTTATTTTTCAATTTCCAGGATTTCTGGAAAAATCTTGGCCACTTAGGACTTTTAGGAATAACAGTCCCAGGTTTGTAACTCCTAATTTGCCTGTTATGTAGTAGTTATGATAAAGAAGTTGATCATGCCAAGACACCTTTGCCACTTGTAATAGCTCTCTGTTGAGTTTTATCAACTGACCTTTAAAGCAATATATATATTTGACCCTTTTGAAGAGCAGCAAATTCTGTGCAAATTACTCCAATTTGTTGGACAAAACAACCCTCCTGACATTTCAAAATTATGATTTACCAGGTTTACATTCACTCTTAATCTTTAATCTTTAATCTTTAATCACAGTTCGTAACCATACATCGAACAAAAGTAAAAAAATGGTTGAATATCAATTTTGGGATTATTAATTGATCTGATACGAAATTCTCCAAACTAAAATAATGAGAATCATTTGGCAGACAGTAAGGAGAATTACTAATGAGATCTTGGGAGTTAAAGGGTTAAGAAAGGTCAAGTTAGTAATCAAGCTTAACAACTCACCTGACCAGAGCCTATTCCAGTTTTCATGGATTGCAGCACAGTGTTTTGTCAGGCTACCCCAAACAGTTTAGCAGTACCTATTTTAGTACTATTGAGATACTATGGCACTGTGAGAGTTGAACTGTAAGTGTCTTGTCCAAGAACACAATGAGCCCCCACAGGTCTTGAAGCCAGACATCTCGAGTGTGAATCCATGAGTGTGCCAGCTGTTTATTAAGGCCACTACATTTGTTTCCCCCATGGGAATTATCAACCTGATACTTCCTGTTATTGCCACCAAAAAGAGTTGTTTATACCTTTCAGGAAGGAAGCAATTTTTTTTGTAGTTATTAGTATAACATTATCATACATTTCCTCATAATTTTATTGATACTGTATGAGTGAGCTCTTGCATTCAGCAAAAGTTAGGGCTTCCCCTTTTGTGTTCAAGGTTTTATTTATGATAAGTCATTTAATTTGTGTAATTTTATCTCAGAACACCTTGGTGGGTCTGGCCTTGGATATTTGGACCATTGCATTATTATGGAAGAGATGAGCAGATACTCTGCAGCAATTGCTCTCAGTTATGGAGCACACTCTAATCTGTGCGTCAATCAAATTTACAGAAATGGTAGTGATACTCAAAAAGAAAAATACTTGCCTAAGGTTTGTTGTGAATGAAAGAGATGGATAATTCATGTATTAAACATCTTGTAAATTGGAAGAATGCTTAAATAATTAAGGGTTAATTAAGATGCACTTCGTGAACTAGTTATACATGTTAGAGCTAATTTCAACAAATCCCACTTGGTCTTTTAAGAATAATTTCTCGTCATAAAAATCATGAATTAGAATAAGGTCATGTTTTTAACATGCAATAATCTCTATTTACCTAAAAGTTACTCTTAAATGTTCATGGAAAACATTTCAACCCAACATGAAAGTATTAATTTTTAGTCAACAATTGAAAAGTTTTGTCACAAAAATTCAGGAAACTTATTTCCAATCATCATCATCATCAATTCATTTTACTAAGTTTCTACTCATTTTATCTATTTGCCTATTTCATTGTTATTATAATTTCCAATGTCTCTCAGTTGTTGAGTGGTGAACACATAGGTGCCTTAGCCATGAGTGAGACGACAGCAGGATCTGATGTTGTGGCCATGAAAATTAAAGCAGACAAGAAAGGTTATAATTGTTTTTTGTTTGTGTGTGTTATTAGCTGTACATATGCATGTAGCCGTATTTTTACGGGAAGCCTTAATGTCTCCTGGAATAAGACATCTTGATCTAATGTGCTCATTCCCATTACCTGTAAGAACTGTGTGCAAAATAGTGTCTCGTTGAAGATTAACTGCAGGCCACAAATCAAATTTTTATTGGATCTGAAACTTTGTAACAATTATATATTGTGGGTTGGTGATGCAGTCAGTTATAGAGGAACTTGTATTCAGTTAAAAACATTTCTCAAAAAGAAATAAATATAAAACTTACATGTAATTTAAACTTTAATAACCACCCATTGTAGTTGGAGCTGATCAGACTAGCAAATAATGTTTTGATTAAAAAACAAAAGATTTAAACAAAAATTTTTTGTATCCTTTTAAGTAGATAGTATGCTATATATACTCGTAATAGAAGGAGTGCAACCCTTACTGTTTCCTTCAAGTTGAGACTGGTCTGAAGAATATTTTCAAGTATGCTGTGTATTTTGTGGTTACAGATGAATTCATTGCATTTCATCAGAGTTCTATGTTATTGGAACTCAGGAAAGCTCGACTCGCATCAATGTTTGCTGTATATGTAATATTGTTATGTGAAAAATTAAACACTTTACCAGTAGATCTTTAATTTTAGGAGATTATTATGTTCTAAATGGAACTAAGATGTGGATTACAAATGGACCTGATGCTGAAGTCCTGGTAGTTTATGCCAAAACTGATCCCAGTAATCCTAAGCCACAACATGGAATAACTTGCTTTTTAATTGAAAAGGTACTCTTGAAAATTTTTGATTGATCAATTGCTGAACCAATTAAGAATTGGCTGTTATTGAGCTTCCTTCAATGACATTGAAATTGCATGACAATATTTTCCTTTGAAAAGTTTAATGACATTCATTTGCAAAAGCAAAAAAAACTTTTTTTTCTTGGAGAAAACACGATCAGGCTGACTACTCTGACTCTCTCTCTCCATGTTTACACACTTCTAGGGTATGGAAGGTTTTACCACAAGTCCTAAGCTGGACAAACTCGGAATGCGAGGATCCAACACCTGTGAATTGGTATTCGAGGATTGTAAAGTTCCAGGTAGCATATTATAATTTGTGAAAATTCTCTCCCATGGTGCATATCATAAGTTGAATATAATTTTATTAACATTATGTGCCATTATGTTAATTTTAAGCTGCAAATGTAATGGGAGGTGAAGGAAGAGGTGTTTATGTTCTAATGAGTGGTTTGGATTTGGAGAGACTTGTGCTGGCAGCTGGACCTGTAGGGTAGGTTTTTAAAACTACAGTTCTGTATAAACTGGTCTTATTCTTCAAATGGCAAGTTTCCACCATGTTTGAAAACAGGGTAGCTGGTGAAAACTATTTTAACATGAAGAAAGAAAATATCACCAGAAACAGGCTTTCATGGTAACCATGTATCAACCTCTATTAGTTGGCAACTATTTTCAGCATTTGGAACATTGTCTTCTCAAACTGAGCATGATTTTTACATAGGTCAGTGGAAGCCATTGTTATGTGTGTATGATATAGGGAAAGAGTAATGAATGATTACTGCAAAAAATAGAGTATTACAGCTATTATAACATTTTGACTTGTGTTCAAAATATGATTTTCCATCAGCTGAGAGGTAAACGAAAGAATTATAAGTGAAAACCTTAATTTGAGTGTCAGTGTGACACTAAACAGCCCTGACCAGAACCAAAGATTGCCTTGAAAACATTGACATTTAGCATCTGAAAAGTTAAAGGGTAATTCTTAAATTTTGAATAAAAAATGATAAGCATATATTGCAATAGACACCAGTGCCACTGTTGTCACCTGACATGAGTGAAGCGAGACCCTGTGTGTCGGTCTGCAGTCACCCTCTGTATCAACTGTTGTACTGCTAAGGTGTATCAAGTTTAAGCCATATATTTTCGGACCCCTAGGGTGATGCAGGCATGTCTGGACGTTGCATTCCCTTATGCTCATTTACGAGAGAGTTTTGGAAAGAAAATAGGTGAACATCAGGTAAGGCTGAATGTCAAGAATATGGTCTTATAAATGCACAGATATTAATCTCTCCAACTGCATGCTTTTAATCGACGACACCACTGCCTGCTTGTGCTTCAGCAGAGCGTGAGTGCCATAGGCGACTATCTTTTATCTTAATGGACTTGCATAACTTTACTACTTTATGAAAGGTTTTGTGGCACGCACGGTATCTGTGACAAAAGCCTTCAGGAAACCCAGTGTTTCTTCTACGAGTACAGCTTTGAAACGGTGGCAGAGTGGTTTACAGATTCATCCATGTTGTCCTTTATACATTTTTTTCTTTTCAGTTAATTCAAGCCAAGATGGCAGACATGTACACGCGCCTGAGCGCATGTCGCACCTATGTTTATTCAGTAGCTCGTGCGTGCGATACTGGGCATGTTAACTCCAAGGTACATGTACAACTATATTCAAGAGGTAGATCTCGTGTTTTATGAGTGTTCGGTAGCGTTTTTATGCAAACACAACATACGTATAAGTACAGAATGAGAACTAAATGTCGTTCAAGGTTTTCAGATGTACGGTACAAATTAGTTATTGCCTTGTTTTGACACCTTGCAAAACAACCCATGTGAAGTTGGTGGAGGCCTCCAAATATTACATGTAGTTCAGAAAGATAGAAAAACACACCACATAATCCTTGTATCTAAACTATGTACCTTGCTTGTTTCCAGGACTGTGCCGGTGTGATTCTTTATGCTGCTGAAAATGCAACTCAAGTTGCATTGGACGCCATTCAAATTCTGGGTAAGTCTCTTTCTCTCTCTCTCTCTCTCGCCTCTCCGGTTAAATTAAATAATTAGTTTGCTACCTTTCCTTTTTTTTTTTTTTTCTTTCGTCAAGCGGGTAATCTGTGGCGGAAGTCTCTATTTAAACGCAAGTACGCATAGCACAGATCTAGCATTTAAAAATTATGCAACACACCACGCTGGCTCGCAGCTTCATGACAAGAGCTACCGATGCAATGAGTTCTTGAGGACCAGAAGTTGCCTTCGTCTTAACTGAACAGAGAACGTGTCTTGTTTCTTTGACAATTTTCGGTTTATTATTCCATGTTGTTACGCTTTTCCCATGCAGGTGGAAATGGCTACATAAACGACTACCCAACGGGACGATTTCTACGAGACGCGAAGTTGTACGAGATTGGCGCCGGCACAAGTGAGATTAGAAGATGGCTAATAGGAGAGAAAATCAACTCACAGTTCCTTTAATTTCTCTCAACTATAATATATTACAGATCTGCTCTCAAAAATCCTGCGCCGGGATTATCTCTAATTTATGAAAGAACAACGCGTAGAAGAAGGAGTGATGAGCACATAACCTTCGAGAAAACGTGAATAGCGTAATCGTATTTAAAATTATATATATTTTTGTTTTTTGGTGGAGTTGAACTGAGTCCTTTTAAAAGTATTTAAGTATCTTTTTCAAGATAAATTCTTAGTCTTTGGCATGTAGAGTACTAGTGTCATAGGTTTGGTCGTGAATTTTTAACAGAGGATTCAACACCAGTGTTCTATTACAAATAGGAAAAACATCTGGATTTTCTTATTCTTTATACCGTGGGGGGGTTACATACCACGATATCCAAAGCCCGCTACACGACTACCTGGCAATATTCTGGCTACCCCAATAGAGCGGCCTAAATTTCAAAGATAGAAAGATGTAAAGGGGTGAGCTTAAAGTGAGCACCTGTTCCTGCGCTTCAACGGAGCGTTGTAACGGAAGATGGTACAAAAGCCAATCACAAGAGACTCAAAGAACCAGCACGGCAAAGGAGTACCTGATTTTTAATTTCTCCAATGAACATAGCTATGCAATGAATGACAAACTTAGCACAAGGCCCTTAAGGAACTGTTTCATCTGTTGTCATAGAAGATGAAAGAAGGATCCTGAAGTCTCTGCGTGACATCAAGGACCTGCTGGACCGTTTTAATCCAAGCCTTACCACCAAATTTAGTATCAAAAGTCTTCCAACGCTTGTTGTCGAAAACACATTTTCAGAAATGAGAAGTGGTGCCTTTGACATGCCCCTACAGCTTGAATTCGATTACAGATTCAGCAGGGCAATCAAAGAACGATTGAAGAGGCAATGTTTTACACCATTTGCTTACTTCACAGCTCCCAAGTCCTATTACCCACAGGTTTTCACCACCACATATTACAATGATTTACCCAAGTTATGCCCTCCAAAGGCACACAAACTATCTGAAAAGCAGGTGAGTGAAATGAGGAACTGGAGAGCAATGTTTGGTCAGAGTGTCCTCCAGAAAACAGTGCAAAACATGACAACAAAGGACAATCCAGGAACTCTGCCCATAAATTTGTATACAGCTGACTCTCTGACTGTACAGCCCCTAGATTTCACAGTGCTGAGTGAAGCAGCAGCAGTCCCAGTGCCGCATAGGGAAACAACAGAGACTTTTTACAAACTACGCCAGATTGTCTGTGTTAAAGCTAATTCCAGTGATACTCGTCAATTGTTCATAATGGCCTGTCTGCAAGAGAATGTGAGTGTTGGCATGAAGAGGGTGAAAGCCAAAGTGTTTATTCAAGATCCTTTCAATTCAGTGCTGTTCACGGAAGATGCAGAGAGACTTGTCCGTGTGAGAAACGTTGTTTGTGCCCTAACCTGCTATAACTACCGTGAAGATACCTAAGAGCTTGAAGAAGAAGATCTTATCCTTCTCCTTGATGTGCTTCACCATACCAATGAAGTCGTCACTGTCGCAGAGGCAGCTGAGTCAGTTGAGATGACAGAAACGGCAGTTGATGAAGTACAGCATGAGCGGATTCCAAGGAGAAGAAAGAGGCGGTTCGAAAGTGATTTTTTCTACTATGAATAGAAGGGTACAACAAGCAATAGAATATGGTAAACAATAATAAACATTTTTGGGGATCAAGGGAACAGCGCAAAAATTTTCGGGATCAAGGGAACATGAGTTGAAAACATTTTTGGGAACAAGGGGTTTTATTAATGGGGAACAAGGGATAAAATCCAAAACGATTAAGGGATCAAGGGAACACGCACCCTCCCTGGGAGGGGCTCATAAATGAGTGAGAATACCTTCTGTTATTTATGAAGATGAAAAAGGCAAATATTATTGTCTAAAATCTCTCAGAAAAATTATCGGCTTCTTGTTTGTAGACGGCAAAAGACATTTCCGAAATATTTCAGTTATCCACAGGTTTCTGGAAAAAATAAAAGATAGTCATGGAAGTACTTGAGCCTTTGGTATTTAACTCGTTATGGTGGCGTTGTGTGACTTTAGTGTGACAATTTAAACGGATCAGCTTTTCCAAAAGTGTTGGTCGAGCCTGCTATGTCTGAAAATCATCGCTTTTCATGCATTATGATGATGAATTCGTGATACGGCCTTAATTAAATGTTATAGGTAGATCAAGTCATGTTGATATTTAATTCCGACCAAAATGCATATTGTAGTTATGTCGACCAGCACATTATTATTTTCTCATCATGAATAAGAAAAAAAAAATAAACAGTCGTCAAAGAAGAGAGGGTTTGGTTTATGTCCTTCCGACGTAAAGTAAACTTACTAAGGTTAGGAAAGTGCAAAAACTGAATACTCGATATGGCGAAGAGGAGTATTGAACGCTTACTTGAACTTCTATTATTTTGCCGAAGGCTGAAAAGTAGCTGCCTTTGGTTCGAAAAGTTCTCCAGGGCAAATTTGTTGTGTTTGATAAACTTTTTAAGGCTCTGAATAAAATTATTCCTATTTTTTCATATTATTTTTCAAACAGTAACGTATTTGCTCACATATACGATTAGGCTCCCCCTTTTACATACCAGTAATGAACCAAATGATGCTCTTTTCATCACGATGTATACCACCGAAACTAACAGGATGAAAACTCCATATCTAAATGAACCTTGCTGAAATGTAGTGACTTAACTAGTAACTTAACAGGAAAAAAACCCTTTGAATTTCTATAACTTGTTTTCAGCACCAACAAGGAACGTCAACTTGACTTTATATCCAACTCTTCGGTACCCAAATTGTTTACTTATTTGTCGATCTCTAAAAGCTGCAGCAAAGCATTTGAGCTTCTTGAACCGAGAGGCCCTGGAAACCAGAAGTCTCATCACGGCTGCTTCTTTTCCGAGAATTTCCGGAAGTGCTTTTAAGTAGATTTTCTCAGAGAAGGACAGTCATGCCGCAAATCAGAAACAAGCTGTTACGTGGCTTGTACGCAGAGGCAGAATTTGACAGAGAACATGATGAAGTGAATGAGATAGAAGCAGCCGTAAGGCACCTGGTTAACGAAATCGCGGGGACAATCAGCGAGAAAGAGCCACTTTTCAATAATACAGTACTGCAGAGTGGAAGCTTTTATGAAGACCTCAAAGTTGAGGGACCCAATGAGTTTGATTTTATGATTTGCTTGGAGAATTTGTCGCAACCTGACGTATGTGAGGTGAAGGAGATTCCGTTTCGATCAGTTCGGGATCCAGGATATGTTCATGTTCAAGTGAAAGACTCGGACTTGCGACGTCGATGGCAGAGATACATCTCAAAGAAAGAGAACCTAAAACCTAAACCTATGCTGGAAAAGTTTCAAGCTCTGGTTAACGATGCACTTGTGGAGAAAAGAGAGCATTTTCATGAGAAGCTATTGACAAATTTTGAGGTAGAGCTAAGAAAAATCCCTGTAACATTGAAACTCGTCTGGAATGGAACTAAATACCAGAACTATGAAATATCGGTGGATTTAGTCCTATGCATCAGGATGGCAGGATGGCCGAACGATTCCGATGTGAACAAACGGTATAACAGATCTCATCCCAGTTACGAGATGATTCGAAATGCAACTCAAGACGGGTATCATCTCATTGCGTCTTGCATCGGAGAATCAGGAAAACCCAGGCCTTGCTGGCGCTTATCGTTTTCGAGAGCTGAGGGTATTTTGCTACAATACCTCAGCGAAATGTCACCACTCCTCGTACACAAGACAGCGGTCAAAATCTTGAAAGTTCTGCGAAAGAAAAATGAGTCTGAGCTCTGTCTTTACGAGGTGGATCTGGATTTCAGTGATCCTGATGTTGTTTTAGAATATTTACGAGTACCCGAAAGTTCGTATGTAATCACCTGGGCTTTCCATTCATACATCTTGAAGACAATGTTTCTACACGAATGGTTTGAGTACCCCGAAGATTCTCATTGGACCCAAGACAAACTTGCTCGACGAATCCACAGTATTCTAGAAAGAATTTTCAAAAGTCTTTCAAAGAAGGATATTAGAAGCTTTTGGTTGCCGGAGTACAAACTATTTAACTTTCGGGCAAGGCGACCAACCCGAACGAAGGCATGCGAAGACAAACTTTCTTCACTGATAACGAATTTCGCAGCCCTCACAATTTCAAAAAGCTAGTTTCCCATGCAATCAATACAGCAATTAAATTTTTATGCATTTTTTCAAAATTTCGCAGTGGAAATAATCGAAAGAGACGAAAAATAATTGGAAATGTAACCCCAAAGATCTCCTTCGAAAAAGCATTGGTCCTGTTGTTGTTTTGATTTTCAAGTAATATTAATGATTTGCTCTGCACATAATCAGTATAATTATTCTCAAGATTACCCAGTTTAAGATACTCGATTTTATTATAACACCAGGTTAATAACTTAGTGCCTGATTTTTTAAGTGGGTCTATAAAAGAAACTTTTTTGTTAGCAGTGGCTTACGTGCAGCAAGCCTGGGTACTAAATAACAAATCGATCGCAAGTCAGACATTTTCGTTGGTTTTCCGGTTGCTAATTTATTAGAAAGTACGCAGGAATCGAAACCATCAACAGTTAAGGAAAGACCTTTCAGTTTCTGAGAAAGACACCTTGTCGCGAATGCTTTGTTTGAATGAAAAACAGTTTGAAAAATATAGCGTTGTCATAATAACGATTTTGTCATTCAGCTGTTTGGATGTTGTCAAACTTGCTCGACGAAGACTGCCCTAGTCTAAGACATTTCATCTTACTATAACGCCAGGCTTATAGTTTTAAGTCGGAATTTCCAAGTTAGTCTCTAAAAACCTCAGAAATTTATTGCAAGGGTGAATTACGTCGCCGATCACAACAATTAAAATAGACTGGAAGTCGAGTCATTTTGCATTGTTTGATTTCAAGGTTATAAGGTTGTAGACAGGAATCAAAACTAGCGGGGAAAAAACCTTTAAGTTTCGAAAGTCGCCCTGTCGGGAACGCTTTGTTTGAATAAAGGGAATTATTATATGACAAGGAAGTCCTGAGCTTGGTTCTTACTTGGTCGGGAATCTGCGGTCATGAGTAGTGTATTTTTCATTCAGCTGTCAAGATGTCGCCACCAGTGTAACAATAAAGTATTTGTTGTGTTCGTGCATATTGATGTCAATCAACATTGAGCTAAGTCACGCAAGGCTGTACCAGGGGAGTTCGAAGAGAACCTGCCAATAGGTTACCTTCCCGTACCATTACTTAACTGATTGTTATAGAGCGAGAGCTATATAGCTGGGAGAAATTAGCGAAGCTCGGCATATAAATCGCAGGAAGAAGTCACAGAAATCTTCATTTGACTTGAATGTCAGTAACTTGTCTGACAAACTCTGTCGCTGCAAGTCAAATTTCTCCCAAAAAAAAAATCGCACAATTCTAACTAGCTGGTTTGGATTCGTGCAACGATCGGAGTGCTATCTCATCCCAATTAAACAAATAATCCGAAATATTTCCATCACCATCGATACTCGCAGTATCACAACAAATAATATTGCATACATGATTAGCTGTACTGAGACACAGTTGAACTTCATTCAAGATCCTATGCATTTATCAAGCATCACACTCTGCAGAGCTTTGTACGGCCTATTGACTAGGTAATTTCTGCCGAATGGTTCTGCTTCTAAGTAGGATTAAGACATTAGTTAAGTGTGATAATTATGTGAATGTTTGCGACCCTTAAAATGATCAAAACATCGAAGGAAGATAATGCCATCGGTGAATGCAACTAATGCAAGCCAAAGAAATTAGGAAAATAATCGTTTTCGACATGAAAATACGTTTAAAAGAAAATTTGAAAAAACTTGTTTTGAAAATTAGATCGTGAATTTTTGTATAAGTGATGTTAGGTTTTTTATGCAGATGTTTGTTTGGGTACATTTTCTAGCACGAAAATTGAAAAGTTTATACTCTGGAACCCAAAAGCTGCGAATGTCTTTGTTTTTGAGACTGCTTCGAATCCTTTCTAAAATACTCTGAACTCGTTCTCCAAGCTGATCAGAGCCCCAGAGCAAATGTGAATGTGATCAAGAAATTTTAACAAAAAATTGAGCAAAGCAAAGCCGTTTGAAGTGAAGCCATTGAGAGTTAATTACTGAACTTCAGGTAGAATTATCTCACCATTCATCTGGAAATTCACACCATTCGTGAAGAAACATCGTCTTCAGTACATACGAATGAAAGACCCACTTTATTGTATATGAGACGTCCGGATCATCTGGATCTTCGTAGAGACACAGATGGCCTTCGTGCTTCTTTCGTAAAACTTTCAGAACCTTGAGTGCCGTTTTGTGAATTAAGCTTGGATTTCGAAAAATGTGCTTCAAAACAATGCCCTCGGCAACGGAGAACGATAAACGCCAGCAAGGCCTGTGTTTCCCTGCCTCTCCAATCGTTGAGGCAACGAGATGAAAACCAGCTCCAACAGCTTTTCGAAAAACTTGATACTCGGGATGGCTTCCAACCCGAAGTCTCTCTCGTATGTCTGATACTGCTGGCCATAAATTGGGACCTTTAATGCATAAAGGGAAGTCGAGGCATATCTCATAGTTAGAATATTTAGAATATTTATTTCCTTTCCAGATTAACTTGACTGTGACAGGTATCTTTCTAAGCTCAACCACGATATGATCATCAATATATCCTCTTAAATAACGCTTCTTTTTCATTATAGCTTTTTCAATGAGATCTTTGAATCTATTCAAGAGGACACCTGACTTCAGATTTCCACGTCTCGAAATGTACTGCTTCCACCGTTCGCTAACCTCCTCGTCTTCAATTTGTACATCTACGTAACCTGGATCAGGAACCTTTCTGTCAATATCTTTTATGACACAAACACCTGTTTCTGACAATTCCGTTAAACAAATCATAAAGTCGAATTCATCTGGGCCCACTACTTTGAGACCTTCGAAATAGCTGCCGCTTGGAATGACAGTATTCTTAAACAGCGGATCTTCGCCACCGATGTAATCGGAGACTTTTTGCACGAATCTGGTAATTTTTCTTTCGATTTCCTTTACCTCATCGTGATTCCAATCGAATTCTGCCTCTCGGTAGAAACTTCGCAAGTATTTGTTGTCAAAGTGCCGCAACTGCGGCTGGAGAGTGGCCATTAATCTTCGTTGCCGGGATGTATTCGATGAAGCACTTCAGCTTTCGCGGAAGCAGGGCTGACCAACCCCAAACTGATCACGGCCAAATGGAAACTGGGGCCCAAGACTTTATCCCAGGCCTTACCGGTCAACTCATGCAATGCTCGAGATCCACAATCTGTCTACGACCCGGCAGCGACAAAATTATAATTTCAGTCGACAAAGGCAGCTATCAGGCAGATTTTAATTTCCAAAGTAACAGCATACAACTCCACGTGAATTCCAGAACAGTCAAGCATATGCATAAACATGCAAAGGAGGCAATATCGTCCGAGAAATGGTTAATTAAAACATGACAGCTGTTTGGTCTTTTTTACCAGAGCCCCGAAAGAGAGGGTCTCAACAAACGAACCCCCCTTCACTGATCTTATGTGGGTCACCCAGTGAGGACTTTGGATACTTCGTGGAAATTCGTTTGGAGGAGTGGATTCAGTGAAATGGGGTTATTTGGCTGCTGTTTTTAGGCGGTTCATTGTGCTATACAAGTTTTCGTAATTTTCGGGAGCTGCGCGACTAATTACGTTCATCCATAGGTTTCTTTCCCACCTGATCGCAGTTTCCGGAACGAATTCGAACGGACATCGTGACCGACGTTAAGACTAACTGGACTTAATCGGATTCCTTGCTAAGTATGTTGGCTGGTTGGTCGATCTCTCGATCGTGAGTTTAACACATTAATATATGAGTACGCCTCGACCATGAAGCTTTGGATCCAGAAACATGGAGAAAAAGGGACCGAGTTAAATCTCAGGGCAAATGCTATCATTATACCTCATAACCATACACCCCAGAGATGCCAGATAATAAGAAAGAGAGTTCGAGTTGATTAGCAAAAGTCTCATAAAGGATCATCTCAGGATCAGTGGCTGGATGGCCGAAAGACTCCGATGTGAGGGAACGATATAAAAGATCTCATCCCAGTTACAAGATAATTGGAGATGCAATTCAAGACGGGTATCATCTCATTGCATCTTGCATCGGAGAATCAGGAAAACCCAGGTCTTGCTGACAATTATCGTTTTCGAGAGCTGGGGGTATTTTACTACAACACCTCAGCGAAATGTCACCACTCCTCGTACACAAGGCAGCGGTCAAAATCTTGAAAGTTCTGCGAAAGGAAAATGAGTCTGAACTATGTCTTTACGAGGTAGAACCTGATTTGAGTGACCCGGAAGATCGTATTTAATCACCTGGAATTTTCAAAAGTCTTTCAAACAAAGATATTAGAAGTTCTTAGTTGCACAAGTACAAACTTTTTAACTTTCAGGCAAGGCGACTAACCCGAACGAAGGCATGCGAAGACAAACTTTTTACACTGATGAAGAAATTCGCAGCCCTCATAGTTTCAAAAAGCTAGTTTCCCATGCAATTAAATTCAGTACTGAAGTGTTAACGAATTTTTTTAAAATTTTTGCAATGGAGAAAATCGAAAGAGAAGAAAAACAACTGGGAAAAACCCCAGGGATCTCCTTTGAAAAACACAGGTCCTGCTGTTGCTTTGATTTTAATTAATATTAATGATTAGTTCTGCACATGATTAGTATAATTATTTTCAAGACTGCCCCAGTTTAAGACATTTCATTTTACTAAAACGCCGGGCTTACAGTTTTAAGTCGGGATTTCCAAGTGAGTCTCTAAAAACTTCAGAAATTTATTGTAAGGTTGAAAGCAGAGCACATCAATTAAAATGGGCTGCAATTCGAATCATGTGAATTCTGTCACGAGTATTAGACTCCACAAAAGGTGGGGGGTCAATACATTGCAATACTCGCACCCCTTAACAGGCCTGTCACGCATCTTGCATTGTCATGCAACACTCTCTACACGTGACTAACATATATCAGCAATTATCACAATAATAGAACATTAATAATCGGGGAAAAAAAGCATAAAAATCCTATTCGCGAGCAAATATTTTCTTTATTTGGTTATTACGGCTACGTGATTCTCAGTTTTTTGATAAGGAGTGCAAGGTTTTGTTCGCAGGATTCTGTCTCGGTTGGTTTCCTAGCAAGAAAATTAAAAAGTTTGTAATCTGGAACCCAGAAACTGCGAATGTCTCGCGTTTTAAGACTACGTTGAATCCTAGTCAGGATCCCTCTGACTCGACTTTGAAGCTGATCTTGACCCCAGAAAGAATCTTCTGGAAATTTAGACCATTCGTGAAGGAACATTGTCTTCAGTACATACGAGTGAAAAGCCCACTGTATTCTATACGAGCCGCCCGAAGCTTCATAGAGGCATAACGCGTGCTCGTGTTTCTTTCGAAGAACTTTTAGGACCTTCAGCGTCTTTGTGTGAATGAGTCTTGGATTCTGACAGATCTTCTCCAAAACAATTCCCTCAGAAACTGAAAACGATAAACGCCAGCAAGGCCTGGGTCTTCCCGACTCTCCAATCATTGAAGCGACGAGATGATAACCCGCGCGACGAGCTTCTTTGAAGAAGTCATACCCTGGATGTGCTTTACCGACTCTTCTTCCTATATCCGACGCAATTGGCCATCCACTCCTCTCGATACACAAAGTTAAGTCTATGGATATTTCATATTTAGGGTATTTCGTTCCCTTCCATCTCAACTTAATAGTAACAGGAATCTTTTTGAGCTTAACTTCAACATGTTCAGAAATTTTTTCAATTGATCGACGCTTTCTATTCCTTACGGCTTTCTGTATGAGGTCTCTAAACCTGTTCAAGAGGGCTTCTGGGTCCAGATTTCCTCCTCGTCGTAAAATGTAACGCCGCCATCGCTGCCGAACTTCTTCGCTATCGATTTGAACATGGACGTATCCTGGATCGAGAACCGGTTGGAGTGGAATGTCTTTTATAATACAAACTCCCGGTTTAGACAAGTCGTCCAGGCAAATCATGAAGTCGAATTCATCAGGGCCCTCCGCCTTGAGATTTTCAAAGTAGCTACCGCTAGGAATAACTTTATTCTTGAAGAGCGGGTCTTTGTGACCGATATATGTGGAGATTTCGTCCACCAAGTTGGTAATCCTTTCTTCGATTTCCTTTACCTCTTCGTGTTTCCCATCGAACTTTGCCTCTTTGTATAAATTTTCCAAGTATGCGTTGTTTAATCGTGTAGACTGCGACCGACGAGTTGCCATTACTACGTCGGAGTGGCGTCTACTTCGTTGAAACCTTCTGGCTTTCTGGGAAGTATAAGTAACTAGCCCCAGATCGTCCACGGTCAAGTGAAAACCGGAAACGACTTGCATTCTAACATTCCAACAATCTCCCAGGCAATACAGTCAAATCACGTTGAGCTGATGGCCAACAGATCTGTCTATAGCTAGGTAACGATAATTAAGTTTGTTAAGCAATTAAATTTTTTCAGAGATCAGCTATCGAGCAGATTTTCATTGACCATGGAATCTAATCGAAATAGTTTAGCAACACAGCTCCGCAGTAATATTCATAACCCTACGCATGAACATAGTCATGTCGCTAGAGAAAAGCACGCGTAGAAAGCCATCATGTCCTTGTTGAAACCTCAGTTAGTGTGCTAGTGGACCCAGAATATTAAAAAAGAGGAACCGAATCAGTTAAACGCAGCAAGAACGTAAAATTAAGGCGAGTCCTATCAATACCTCATGGGCATGCACCCCTAAGACACCAAATAGCAAGAACAAAAACTCTAACTGATAAACAAAAGGTCCCTCACAAAAAGCAACATCTTCACGCTAAGTCTTGTATTGAATCTCGCTAGTTACTTGGTCAGAGTGGCACCTTACGGGAGAAACAAACCTGCCACCATCAAAGTGTGTCCTGGTTGTTTAGGAGAGGGGGTTGCCTGAATCAGGTTCAAACTACAGCCTCTTACATCCTAGACGGAAAAGTTGGGTATTTAAGAAGTGATCGCTTCCAGGACGTAAGGAGATGGTTACATCAATAGGCTTGACTATACACAAAAAACACTGCAAAAAATATATGGTGTTCACCCGTTCGGAAAACAAGTTGTAAATATTTGAAAACGCGGCATTATTCACGTATTTTCTGACATTTTCCGAAAAGAAAATCCAAAGTTTTTCCGTTGTTTTCGAGTCAGCGAATTGGAGTATTCCTTTTATTATCCAGCAGTTTTCCTTTTATAGTTAACTCTAGGAAAACGATTGTTTCCTTAGTGTTAAGAGCGCGGTTAATAGACGAGAAAACGGTTTGTATTTCATTGTTTACTGGTGTTTTCCAGTAACAAAACATCGTCTTCACACAAGTTTTCCGTCGAAGACAAAGCGTTTTCTTCCACTTTCTAGGACAGTAAATGCAAAGTTTCTTGCAATGGCTTGTGCGGTAAACAGACACGGACAGGGAGACAATTGTTTTCGTTTCAAAAATATTTATTCTGTTACAGGGCTACGCTGTCACGCACCATCAAACGTATAGCTTTCAAATTACCTCTGCACGTTCATTGAAATGGTTCTGCCGTGAAGTACAAATAGTTTGCCCTCTACAACAGGGCGTAATGTGAACAATTCCAGTTCTTAACCCTATCAGCCCCGTTCGTTGATCATCATCAATTTTCAATAATAATTTTGAGAATTACGAAGCTAATCATCTTTAAACACTCATCAAACTTTACGAGTAATGAAACGAAGCTACTATAAAAGAACCGTTAAAACAATCGTAGGGCTGAACGGGTTAATTGTTCAAACTAGTGCAATCAACCAAAAAGTGAAAGTCAACCGTGTGTGTAATTCTTACACTTCACAATGATTTCTGTGCAAACGAATAATTAACATAAAATATTTTTCAAAAATAATCTGAAGGCGCCTTGCCTGGATAAAAAAAAACAAAACAATTTAGAATGTAATACTTTCTATGCACAGCTTATGTTACGCAGCTAGTATATTCTACAATGGCCAGATAGAAAGCTTGTCCTGAGTACTCTGCGGTAAATCAAACTCGATTCTGATCGGTAATTATTTGATATTGTTACAAAAGACTGAGCGCGGACGTTTCTGAGACAGGTACGCCGCCAGGAAGTAACGACTTCCGATCAAATGCGCTTCGACATCAAGGAACCGACTGCAAAGCTTTAAACAGTTTTAGCATCTCAATGCATACAGTTAAAAAAAAAATCTGTTGTAAGCTCCAGCTAAGGAAAATAATTCTCAACTTCTGCAGCTTTTCTCGTCTCAAAAACGTCTATGCTTAGGCTCCTTATTGGTGACGGGCATTGAAAATCCTCTCCGGAAATTTTCGATCAGTTGTCGGAAACGTCCGATGACTACCAATAAACGCTATTGTTAATAAACGCCCGCTTCTTCAAATTTCCGGTCATTGTCTGATTCTTTCGTTTTTTTCTTTCTTTTTTTTGAGAATGATCTCGTTCAATATTTCGAAGTATTAAACACACAGCAAGGCGTTATTGAGCAAACTTCCACCATTCTATGAGAAGAAAAGCTTTGCTTCACCACTACTGTTAAATACAATTCATTTACATGCACTAGCTTAAACATGCAAGTCTTTAAATCAGTCCAATACGTTAAAAAGTTGACAATCTTTACTAAACAATTAAAATTACTTTTGTTTTTTTTTGTGTGACTGCAGCAAAATTTCTGCCTCCAGTAATTTCCACCTTGTCTCTAAATATGTTTTATATAAATTTTTATCATTTTCTCTTTTTGAATTTTTTCACGGTTGTTTGTTTAAATGAAGACTAAAATGGGCTTCTCGTGAAGTGTAATTTGTAAATAGTGGGATACTGGTATCTCTGCTAACTAAGACCACGCCTCAAGCGTTGAGAACTCAAGCCATTGCTTCGGAAACAAATTCTTAGAGGGCTCAGAAGAGTTGAAATCGCATATAGAAAACAAGGCCAATTTTTTTTAGACTTGCGTTTCTTTCATCTGTCACACTAGTCAGAAATGTCACAAAACGATCTGCCTCTTGTTAAAAAAAATAATAATAATTAAAGTCAATTCACAACCGTTGTGTACGACGCCAGAACATAAAATACACAATATAGACATTTCCGGGGAATAAGCACACGAAAACGGTTCTTGTCTATATTTTGGACCGTTAAAACAAGTCTGTTTATGCAATACCAGAGTGGGGATCTTACGGCAAGTACCGCTGACGATTTCAACCAATTCTTAGCCCGCAATAGAGAAACTTAGTCACTTCTATCGATAGTAGTTTTGACTTGAAAAATAAAAGAGAAATTTAACAGTTACAGCCGGTTAAAGACTGGTACTCTCTTAGTTAATGTAAACTGCCATGAAAATGTAATGCTCCGCGACTTTCAAAGTTTGCACAAGTTGTGTCACGCGATGCATGGTAAGTGTATAATGTGTCACGCAGTTGACAAATGAATTTCAATAGCTGTGTACTAGCAACAGTTTCCCTGTCCTCGTCAAATTCATGAATTGAGTGTTTCAAAATTTGGAAAACATGTTAAAACACATGTGTAAGTACGTGTTCAAATCGCAGTACTTTCGAGATAAGGATGTTTAAAACCCAAGGAATTCGCTCCTCATGAGTATAAAAAGTCTCAAAAATTTCTATAAAATTAATATGCATCTGACGGAAGTCTGAAGCTCCTTAATTTAAATCTTGTTCCCAATAAATTTAAAACCTCTCCTTTCTTTTACGTATATCTACCAAACTACGAATAATATTAATTAAGTAACCTTAAACAGAAGAGTGAACTTAGAAATCAGCACAGGAAGAATACTAATTTTGCTTTTGGGGGGGGGGGGTCCACCATACCTTAAATTTAATTTTTTGCTAAACGTCTGTTGCCCCCGTCCCCTAACCAATTGTTGACCACCCCACCCCTTCCTAACCATTGAAAAAGCCTAATTTAACACTCAACTTTTCGAAATTCTTTGCCGGCGAAGCTTGGAAACAAACTTGCTTAACATCTTGCCAACTGCTAAATCTCTCGTATGCTGCAGGAAAGTTGTTTTACGCGAAAATGGCAATAATCAGTTACATTCACAACACAAACGAATTGAGAGAAAAGTGTGTAGTTCACTCTCCTGTATAATTAACTTAACGTGCACACCAAACTATAAATTAGATAATTATATAATGCTAAATCCCTTTTTCTGCAATAACTTGTATTATTTACAACCTCTGCACCGGTTGGATGTTAGCAGCCCAACCAAAATTGTTCGTTGCTTTAGATAATTTACTTGGTTTTCTCTGGTATAATTTATCTGCGCACATAGGGTTGATAAACGGCAATCCCATTATAATTTCTCCCATTCAGTCAGATCGAGCGCACTCTTATATCTAAGGCGGCCCTTGACTAACTTACCCCAGCAAATGCTAGTTCTAAGAACACCCTTACAAAATAGCACAATAGTTCTTAAGTCTTCTCTAAGAGCGAATTTTAAGTAACTTCCTTTACGAGTCACAAAAATTGCTTTAAAAACACAGGGAAATAAGTAAGTCATGTCAACTCTCTTCTAACGTACTTACAGTACATATTTTAAGTAAGGAAAGCTTTCAAGGAAGTCACCATTTCCCACTTTTACTTGCGATTCCAATCTGATGTCGTCTGCAGAATGGGAGAGGGCCAAAATCATTGTCCGAAAAAAGGCTTCCCGAGGGTCCAGTACGGTCCGTGGAGTCGGAACTCGGTTGTTTTATTTCATGGCTGGGTTTCATTTTCAGGTCTGCGAGATGGAAGTCAATCAAAGACGATTAGTATAGGAAACAAATCGTTTGTTCCTAGGATTGCAAATAGGAGCGGAGGATCTCACTAGTATATCCTGACAAGCATTTGTCTTTGCGAAAAATGTAGAAATGTACGTATAGACATTTACCCAAAGCCTTTAAACGTGCGCTGGAGTCTATTTCCCAGCCATTCTTAGAGATGTGAAGCTCTCCTGAGGGAGAATAGAGTAACTTGACATCCTGAGGATAGGATATACAGAAGACCACAAGAGAGAAAAACTTCGGAAGATATCATGTAGTTTTTTTGCACTAACTTCCAATGATATTGAAGTAACTCAGTAAAAGAAGAACTTTTCAGGCCCGATAACTATTTGGTGATTATAAAACTTATATGAACTCAAAGGCAAGACACGAAAAGCGGATGGCAATCGCATTAGAATCTAGAAACGTTCACTTTTTAGCACGAGAGCGACTTGTGGTAGGTGTTTAACTGACGCATTGAACGCACCTTTTTGCTAGGGTTGAAAAATTAGCTAAAGGTAAACACGATAACTGTCGTGATTCTACGAGCTCCCACTAAATACCGAGTACCGAAAACAAGTTGAGAAACAAGCTAAGCAAGAAATATCCTAGCTGCCTTTGAATAACTTAAAATAACTTTGCAAATGAAGCTTTCAGGAGAATAAATTTCATACGTTGTCCGCTAAAAGCGTAGGTCAGGTACATATCTTCTGGCTAAAGTAGCGACTAACCTTGATAAAAAGAAAGCATCACTTCCTGTTCAGTGACAGTACCAATAACTCACCCTGAATTGTCAGAAGCATTTTCCTCCGCGCACCAAAAGCAGCTATTCCCAGTTCCTTAAGGTCGTCGTCCGTCAAAGTCAGGAACGTTGGCAAGTCAACCTTCGCGAACACAAAATTTGTCTTTGAGATAAAGCCTTTACAGTATTCGCTATACTTAAAAAAAATCAGCTTCTCTCTCTTTCCTTTTTCATTGAATGATCAAATATACCGGGCCTCAAATATCACGCGATGGTGGAATTTCGCATGATAGGCCAAAAATCTCATCCGTTTGCATATTCCGAGGAATAGAATTACACAATTAGAGTAAAGGAAACTATGAAAATAAAAGGGAAAAATTCCAAAGCTGAGGATTTACAGTATAGTAAGGTTACTTGAAGGAAAAGAAACTTTTGCGAAACATCTGGAAAATACTTAGGTTTTTGCTGTTCTTGCATGAGAAAGCAAGTAAATGTAACTTACTTGCTTGTGGCGGAACCTACCTCTTGTTCTTGGAAGGTCCTCAGGTACTTTTCAAGACCAACTTTCTCAAACAGGTCCCGAAGATCTGAGGGTCACAGAATCATAATAAATAATTACGAGAGAAAAATAACTTATCGGCGATGACCTATTCAGGACTGTATTTAAGGGCAGATGAGAAGATATTCAAGCTTCAGATATGCATTTCTGAGTGAATAAATGTACTTTCGCGCTGTTTCGTGCATACTTTATCAGAGAAAAGAATACAACATTGGGTAGAGCAACCTCAATTTTGTATCAGTTCAACGGCGAAGAGCATTTGAATCGATTTTCATGTAATTTTTTTCGGCAATTTAAGTATACTATAGCTGGAGTGCTGCCAATCGTAAGATACTCTTTTAGCGCATTATGGCAGATGAATTCGCGTAATTTCCTCCAGGTAAAACGACACTCAATAGAGAGACTTTGAGAACCACAAAAGAAAAAAAATTCAAACAAAGAACTTTGTCACAAGCAATTTCAGGTCGCACCTGAACAAGTTGAAGAGGATGTGGATGAACAGCTGTTCCTCCTTGAGCCAATGGTTCCTGGTCTGCTACATTCAGCTACAGAAAGGAAAAATGCAATTAATATCAAAGTCGGTAGAGGATAAGCGATGTATTTTACACAGGTAACAACATGATTTCGAGTGCAATTTAGTGTTAATAAGCACGAGTAAATATTTCAACGACAAAAAAATTGCCCGCAGGGCGAGGGCAATTTGTAGTCTTTGAACAATTTACAAGTGCTTATAACACCAAAATGCAAGTGAAATCATGCTATTACTTGTTAACAATATACATGAAAAAACAACACAACAAGTCAAGACGGACGAAATTTTAAAAGCGTGCGCGCGCTATTTGCAATTTGCACTCGTGTTACAGCTTTACAATCGTACTACATGAGAACGCACTCGTTTTCAACCCATCATAAGCATGCAAATTTTTCACGGATATCAACTTTTTTTTTAGTTTCAAAAACGTCTGACAACGGGCTACACTTGCTCTCCTCAAGCTACCTAAAAAAACTAACTCACCAGGCAATTCTTCTTCGTCAAGGCGTTCTGGTCTTAGCGTAGACTGCAAGAGAATGACAAAACAAATTGAAATAAGAACAGAGGCAGATTCAACGTCCAGCACCCCAACTAAAAACAGCAACGCTGCTGATATGTCGTAAACATCGAAAGCGTACATCATCAGAAGTGTATACATTTTGTAATTGAAAACGTTGTATTGGGGACAGTTTACAGCAAATTAGCAAAACGCTAGTGTGGGTGAAAATGTTCGGCTTCGTTTTGTTTTAGATGAGAACGAACAGTTCTGAAAACGCATCAGTGCATGTGGTTAGAACCCGAGCCAAAGGAGTCACACCAAGGTATAGGGTGAAATGGAATAAACAAAGCTCCATCCCCCTTCCTTTCCCCTCCCCCTTCCTTTCCCCTTCCCCTTCCTTTCGCCCGTAAGTAAAGTCTTTGCTCATTTTCACTCCATCCGCTTACGTGACTTACATTCGTCTGAAAGTACACGAAAACCAGCCCCACTTGCAGCCTGAATCTATGAAAGTTCACTGTAGATGAACATGAAGTGGGAGCCGGCAAACAATGATACAAACCTCAAATCCACTTCTGCTCCGCGATTCTCTTGGACCAGAGCTGAACAGCGAAGATGTATCGGTAGCCTAATAAATAAAAAAAAACATTCACCAAAGACTTCAAACAAAATAGGGAAATCGAACATTTCATGACATATGTTTTTGCACGAGAGGCGGAAAGTTTCTTCGTCACAGTGGAATCTTCTTTCTGACATGGAGTGTCTACTCTGTGTATTAGTGTCTGTCTAATAGGGAGTGTCTCCACGAATCGCTTATCTAAGGAGAGATTTAAGGTTGCCGGGTTGATAAAGTTATCAAGTTGCAGAATCACGAAAAAAAAAAAAAAGGGCCATATAAACTCACTTCAAAACTTCCATTAATCGATCCATTGTACGGCAATAGATTCCCTTTGGTATGAGCCTTGAAATCAAGCTGAAAAAGAACAAGTGATAAATATGGCTAAGAAAATTAATTGACATTTCCAGTTGCGGAATAGTTTCTTTTGAAAGCTAACTCAAGCTAGTGTTTTAGGTTTTCTTATTAATGACCAAAATTATTGTAAAGAAAGTAAAGAAGAAAATAGTATTGGAAAAAACCTCCTTCGAGCCGGATTCGAACCAGCGACCTAAGGATATCATAGCAAACTCTACAGTCCTCCGCTCTACCAACTGAGCTATCGAAGGAACCACACTTTCCATGATGAAACATTACTTATTCCAATATAAAGCACGCATGGAAACGGTTGCACGCTCGAAATTTCACCTCAACTCTTGCAAACGGAACGGAACGCCTACTGACTATGAAAATTTGTATTAAGATCGGCGCTGTAAAAGCGCGAAACTCTATGTTCCTCGATCACCTTACAACCATGAATAAAATGAGTGAATATTGGTCAAAATAACCTAATTCATTTTCAAAGCTAAAAAGGTTGATGCTATCAGTGTAAGTGCTATTACTTACTAATTCTTTAATTGCTGATTCCGGCATTGATTTCGAGAATCCAAGACCACTCCAATGGCTTGTAGGCGTTCTCACTTCGTTCATAACAACTTTCTTCTGCATGGCTGATAAAGAAAGACTGGAGTCATTAATTCAGTACATCTTACCTCAAATAAAAATGAAGTAACTTTGACTTCTGTTTCCATGTAAAGAAATCCAGGATTGTTACGGTTTCGCTTCCTTCACTTTGTGATTGGTCTCAAAAACTCGCGCTTATCTCTCTTCTAAACAGACGTAAAGCTATAACCAATCTCGACTTGGTAACTAGCGTTTCCCCGAGCATTTTTTGATTTTTGTTTTTTTGTTTTTTGCTTTGAGTTTCATTGGATTAATTTAGTTTTGGATTTAAGACGCTTTAAAAATGACAGCTAGATGGGAGACCTGTTTTGTCTTACAACAATGAAACACTAACTGGATACCATATAAAATGTGCCTAGTTTTAAGGAAGACTTTGAAAAAACGATTTTTCAAGCAAGCGTTGATTTAGGATATTCATATCTCTGTTTTTGACATACTGGCTTAGTCGTAGATTTTCATCTGGATAATCAACTGCAGTTGTTTCATAAGTCTTGTAATTTACTTATAATATAAATGTTGTGAATGTTTTTGTTTTGTTAAGTTACAAGTAACAGTTTGGCGCCTAGTAAATATTCAAAGATAAATCTAATCAAAGTTAAGTAGCATTACCTACGGTCGCCTTGGACTTCAAATAGTCGTAACGAGCAGCCTGTTGATCAGTAAAAGCTGAGTGTTAGGCGAAATATGCAAATTATCGCACTGTACTGAAAAAGAAAGCATCAACAAAAACAAAAGGAAGGAAAACAAACTTCAAAAATAAGAAACAAACCATGGAAAAACACAGAAACATCTGGGAAGCTACAACTAATTTAAAACAAAATTTTCAAGCAGTCCCTGAGAACCTGTAACAGGTATCTTACCGGCTGAATGGGGGTATTTGGTAGGAGCTGCTGCAGGCTGAAGAATATAATATTTCATAATATTAAAGAACCACTTGCACTAAATGAAGAAAAAAAACTGTAGTCCTTTGTTTCTCGGTGAAATTATAAATATTATGTGGTTGAAGTCAACCCGCAAGGATATTTTTGCGCTACTCAACTTTATAAACAATAAAATACAAAAAGGGGGGTTGGGGGAAAGGGGGGAAGGGGGGAAGGGGGGGGTAGGTTACCACATTCGAGTATACAATATCTTGGAGCAGCAATAAGTCCTTTCAAATATGATCATGGTTACGTTAATAACAACAATAACTTTTTTTATTGCTGCAAACAAAGTGATGGTTCACTTATCTCTTATTCCAGAAAATAACAATTTAACACTCTGGTGAATTCCGAGATTATAGCATAAGCTAAGCCACCATGCGCGAAACAATATCATATGTAACTCTGCGCGGTAGGAATTCAGAATGCAAAGGATAAGTATTTGAACTTACAGCGATAAAGACGAACTAAGGCTGTCATCTGATTCACTGGGATCTGAGTTAAGACTTGACGTACTATTACTGCCAAAAAAAGAGACACGGCTGAATCAGTAAAAGAAAAACCAGGAAAGAAATTATAAAACCAGGTTACTCACCGAAGACTAACATTTTTTGCACCAGACAATATTTGAACAGTTTGTCTTTTAGAACCATGAGTGACTGAGGATCCTGAAATAAATGACACAAAAATACTATAAAGTTTACATGGTACACAATGAATCTCCCTATCGCTTATAGAAAAAGGATAACCAAAACTTTTCTATTTCTCAACATCTAATGATCATACTTTGACACAAATTTCCCTTCAAATGAACGGACGAAGTTTTTGTTTCCCTGTTATTTGCGGCAAGCTTCTTCATATTCTGTAACGTTTTGTTTCGTTTTATTTTTCACTTTTTCTAGGAGACTTCATGTGCATTTGACCTAAAACACTGTGGAGTTTATTACATACCAACTGGGTTTAGGGCTCCATCATTACTGCCGTGCGTCTTAGCGTCGTGATACGGCTGGAAAAAGACGTGAGATTACTAAGCTTAAATCTTATTCAAAACTTTCATAGCTGGCCGCGATATCCATGTGCCATGCATGAGTTTAAGTTGCCAGGAGCAAAACTTTTTCAGGTGGCTTTGCCTTTACGTCTATCTGTCCGCATCTAAATGTCCGTCTGTAGTTTGTTTGTCCGTCTGCCTGAGTTTTTATTACTAAACCGAAAGAGCTCCTTTGACCTGCTTATCCTGTAATACCTTACTTACCAATATTTGCAAAATCATATCACCTTGGTATTGCCACATTCCTACTAAATGTTTTGTCTTTTTGTCTCTCTGTAAGGTTGCCTGTGGCTGTCCGTCCGTACCAATGTGCCGTTATCTTCTGTCTGACTATACCGTCTGTCGGTCCGACCGTTCTTCTATCCATTCTTTTGTACGTTTCCGTTTGTCTGTCTTCATTCTACTCTCATCGTCTCCGTAGTCTTATTGACATGACATTCCAGTAAGTGTTGTGAATATTTCAGTTTTTACCAGTTCTACAGATGTTGAATTATGTCAGGATGCCAGTATAAGTATTTACCCAGAGCTGTAGCCACTACCAATACGTATGTCGTCCTGTCTGTCTGTCTGTCCGTCTTCCAAAATGTCTGTCGTTTCGTTTTTTGTTTGTTTTTTTTTCGTAATGGTCGTCTCCGCAAATGTCATGCGTGCATTCTAAAGTTTACAGTCAGTTTAGTCTGTCTGTTCTTGTTAAAGAAGAAACCTGGCTGCATCAACAGCAGTACTGTGGGCCGTCTATCTTTGCGTTTTTATTTCTCTGACCGTTTGACCGTATTTCAGTTACACTGCTTAAGTGTTGTTAAGTTTATGAATCGAAATAGAAAGCAGTAAAGCGTACAACTTTGTTTATGGTTCTCATGAATCAGTTTCCTAAGTATACTTTAAGTATGACAAGAGTAAGCTTAAAAGTAGTGAGTTTATGGCCGGTTAAGGGTTCTTCAGAAGTCTACGTTGACTGGTGTGTGTATCTCGGTTCTCAGTGCGTTAACTGCGTGTTCAGTAAGTCTTTGTTACTTACGATAGAGTCAGTCAGGTCATTTCCGCTGGCCACGCTGTTATGATTTGCTGTGAAGGAACAAATCAATACATCGGTCAATCTGATGTCAAGAAGTTTCACTCTACAAAAGTCCTCAATTTGCTCTCTGCGTTTGAACAAAGTATTGGTTTCAAAGTTCGCTGCTTTTCCCATACACATAACTTCTATTTCCAGACTCAAAATAAAACCACGATGCCATGCTAACACGCAGTAGCCGCAGTAGAAATCATACATTAGCAATTTCGCGGGTTATGTTAAAGAAGGGGCTAAAAATTCAGCGAAACACATAGAAAGTCATTTCCGTCTGTAATTAAATGTTTGCTTATTGTCATAACAACTACAAACTTTATCCTGGCTCTCATTGTCTATTTCTAGACTTGTTCCAACGTTAGCCAATAGTTAGGACTGACTGAGCTTTGTGTGTACCCTCCACTATACCAAGGAAACCTGTGGCAACGCAAGAATGGGCCCGAAAAAACGGGCCAATCAGCGACCCCTATTTCGGCGGGAAAGTGACGCGAGCACACTTCCCTAACAACCGGCTACAACACCAAAACAAAATTGTGGCGCAGTTTTCCAAGCACTATTTTACTGGTAAGTTTTTGTTATCTCTTCATTCTTAAAAATATTTCCTCTGGTGTTTCCTAAGACAACTCGCAAACTTTGAAAAACGATGAGATACTAATGAACCACGAAAACTATCGGCCACTTCACGGTCAGTTGCTGGCGATAGTTGAGATATCGAAATAACACTCGTTGAATAAATTTAAAGCTTGCAGACTATTCTCTATAAGGCTACTTTGTGAATAATTCTCATTAAGTCAAAAGAAGCGCTTAATAACAAATCCTGAAGGTTAAATACGCATGCAAGCATGCTTAATTAATGCCAAAATTCTACTAGAATTTGGTTCAGTATTTAGCTCTTGGTATTTACGCCGTTGAAGGTTACCAAGTTGCGTCAAACATGCAACTTTTTACCCAAAAAGTCAGAATGGAGAATGGAGAAAAAAACTGACTTGCTAAGCAACCGATATCTGACGAAAAGAAAATGTACCTCGCGCGGAGAGAAAGTTATTTTATACAGATAAAATAGACTTACCATCATCCTCAACAGTCATTGGGCTTGTACACTTAGGACTTCTTGGACTCAAACTTCCAGAAGAGCTTCGTCTCATAGGACTGCCATTCAAACTCTGTCTGTCATCAGGGCTTGGTGTTCTTTGTCCTTGAGGACTAGTGGTTCTTCGACTCAAGTGATTCTGTGATTTATGACTTTGCTCTGCTCCTAATTGTAAACAAATCAAATATCGCCATGAGAGGTCGACAACTGCACTAGTTTTGGTAACTTTGAAACAAACCTCTAATCAATATCACCGCAAAATTGAACTTTAATATTAATTTTATAACTGATGTCAGAGGTATATCATCTGCAACAATAATCTCAATGCTCAGTTCAGCAAGATGCGTAATTTCAATGCTGGAAATAACTGATATAACTTTAGACTGCAATCAACCCTTATTTCCACTACAATTACCTCCATTAGAGGGACATAAAAATATCTTAGTCTTCCTATATAAGGTTTACACATGTTCAAATTTAATTGTATTTCTTGCTTTTTTTACTCTGAAAATCATTTTCAGTTATAATTCACAGGCCAGGAAAATGTTCATAACCAGCAAATTTATTTCTAACAACAATGGCAGATGACCCCATATGGTAAGTTAATGCTACTATTACCTATACTCATGCCGCCAACGTATCCATCTGAACTAGGCAGAGATCCAGAATAATTTATAACATAACCACTCGGAACATTGTTATGCATAGAAGACATTGTAACTGGTGGACCAAGGCCAGGAGGAGGTGGTGGATTGCTTGGATAAGTTGTTGAGCGGTTCATAAGAGGATTCATTGGTGGGGTCACTAAACCACCAATCATGTTCGAGATTGTGGGTGATGATGGAGCCATGGTTGAGGCAAACCATGGATGTGGATTGTTGGATGCTGGATCAATAGGACTCAACATGGGACTTGTGTGTCCATTCATGTGGTCATATAGGTAACCCGGTGGTGACGAACTGAGGCTGAGCTTACTGAAGTAATTTCTTGACATATTGTCTGGGGATGGAATGCCATGATCAACTGAGCTTGATGTTGAGATTGTTGATGATACAGCAAGATTTTCATTTCCATCCAGTCCTAGAATTTCTTGTCTCGCAAGATACATCCTTGCAACATTTTTTTCTGCACTCTTCACAATCACAGACTGCAAATAAACATTTACAGTTTACAAAAATTTATGACATGGTTCACTTTGGGTTAAACAAAGAAAAAGTAGGAAACAGAAATTTTAGAATCATATGCTAAATACTGTTTCAAAGCACTTTAAGACCATTCCATCTGTGTGCATGTGTATAAGTTACATAACATCATTTGTGCAATGATTTTACTTGTACATTTATGTACAGTAGCAGCCAGTAGACCAAACTCCACTCTCTCTCCACATCAATAATCCATGCAATACTAAGCCTCATTTGCTTACCTTGCTTGGCTGCTTGGGTTTTGGTTTTACACTGACAAACACATCATATGCCTCCATTATTTTATTCAAATTTGCTGGAGCAAACAGAACATAGGATTGTTAGCTTTATTCCTACAAATTCATTAAAAGAGCATTGTTTCTAATTCAAAAATACCAGACATGTAAATTTTATGTAAGAAATATTAGTGTTAACAACATTTGTGTCCAGTCAGAACAAGTAAGAGATTTGTACACGCAAACCCCACTTTTGAAAGAAAAAGTTTTGTCAGTCAATGTCAAATCTATTTTCAGTAAGAAAGACTCTCACGTATATCTGGATCTCCATCTTCCTCTCTTAGATCAAACATCAATATCAGGGGAAGACAATCCTAAAAAAATATTGGATCATAGAATAAAAATCAATTCAGGATTTCATACAAATTTTATGCCTTACTCAATTATCCAGAATTGGACAAAGGTCATAAAAGGACAAATTCCATCTATTTTGAAGAATATACATGTATTGTCATTCAATTAAAATAATAAACCACTTCAAGGCGTTCTTCTTACAATAAGCTGTGATCTTGCTTCAATGACTGCATCAACTGTTCCAGTAATAAATACTGTGCCTTTCCTTTGTGTGCCATTAGGATCAGGAAATAAAATACTGCAAAGAGATGAGAAGCAGGGATATAAAATTCTGTAACTTTTCAAGCTCAGAATTTTCTAGCAACATTGTATTGGCACTCCTTATGAAATAACTTCTTTGAAGGTGGAAATATAGTTTATTATATGGCTGCTTGGGGGTATGGCTTACTTGTGTCTCATGACTGAAAACATGGGAAGAGGGGCACATGCATTGAGCTTTTTTCACAAACTACAGAAATAACTGAATAAATTGAAACAAAAAAAAATTGAAAATGATTTGCAAAGTAAGCACCAGATCAACATATCACAAACATTCAATCTTAAAAAAAAATAAACAATAAAGAACTTCAGACATAAAAATATCGAGGAGTGAATATAAACAAATCAAAGTCACAACACAGTAAAATGCAGAGCTTAGGTTAGTTTTTTGTGCATTACACACAAAACTCACTTTGCTCCTGTCCTTTGCATGATTTGCTTGATGTTAATACCATTTCTTCCAATTATAAATAAGTGATGCTGGGGTGCAATATCTATCTGCATGTTCACTGGAACTGAAGACTGAACACACATGTATACATGATGATGTTAATAGCATCCTTAAATTTGCACCATCATATCAGAGTTAACAGGTAAAATTCATAGTGACATTTCCTGTTTCAACTGGACTACCATAGAGCAAATTGATTAAATGTAACAAAAATTTTTGGTAGCAGCTTCCTACAACGTATATTTATTATAATTTATCAATTTTGTACACAATGTCATACTTACAGCTATTTTTGCTGTCAAGTGTCCAACAAGATGGGCAATGGCATCCTGAGAACGTAGACAAAAAACATAAAAAACCACATGTACCGGCTCTAATAAAATATTTTAATCACCTTACCATAAAAAGATTGACTTAGACTTTCCAGTTATTGGCAACCATAGGCTAAAAATTGTATGCACAGTGAATATGATTAAATCAAGCAAGAGCAACACTACATTTTGAAGGAACAAAATGCTTCTGGTGATTAATACCCAGTCTATAAGGAAGGATACACTTCATTGCTAAGGTGCCTTTTAAGGGGGAAGGTTGAAAAAAGGATGGACTGAGGGTTCACACATGCACTTTATGTCCTTAAATATCTACATGTCCTTTGTTCTTAAAGACAAAGATTACAATAATGATTATAATGATATAACAATATCATTTCTAATTATCCTCACTGTCATAATAATGATTGTTACAATGAACCTACACATGTACTAGTGACCATTACTAGATGCTCTTCATTTGTTATGCCTGAACATGAATATTTTGCAGATAGTCCTCCACCAAAAATGTTTACACAAAATATGTTATGCAAAAGAAAACACTGCAAATACTGTTTTTGCACAAATGCTGTTAATTCATACAAACCTTTATGCCACTTATATGCTGCTGTGATCCTCTTATAACTGCCGTTTGATTTCCTGCTCTAGGTCTCTGAAAAAGAACAAAACAAATGAATAAATTGTGATACCGACCCCCTCCTTTGATAATTGTCAATGGACAAATAACCAATTTAGGAAGCAGACAGTTTTCTGAGCAAAGGTTGAGAAAAATTGTGAGCAAATTGTGTCAAAGGACACGCAGCACATACACAGTAAATTTAAATATTTTAAGCCAAATAGAGATTTTTGCATCATTACCTTTCCAATATTTTCCTTTGCTCACCTGTTTGAAAGAAATAGAGACATTGCAGGTTTGGGCTATATGCTGAATAGTTGGTGAATTGGCATCTGTAGGTAGTCTACCACTCAAGGGTAAATCAAATGTCAGAACCAAAGGCAGTAAATCCTGAGAGAAGAAAAATTAAATAATTATTTTAGCTCTTGATCAAAGATTGCATAGTAACATTTAGTCATAATCTTAATTACCCGGATTTGCTGTCTTGCACTTTCAACACCTAAAGGTTGGCCAGCAATAGACACCTGCAATTACAGAATTTCCCTAATTAAAAATGTATCAATATATAAAAATAACCATTACCACATTAAAATACTCCAAATCATTCATGAAAATATTTAGTAAATCATATAGGCTGACATGACAAGCACAAGAACATGAATATATGTAGCTTCACTTGTTGTTCCAAAAAGCTTAAACCTAATATCGGCACATACCTCAGCTCAGAAATGCATTTTCAACTTATGAAAAGGTTGTCACTCTATTGTATATCTAACATCAATCGAATGTGTCTCTTACAGTTTAAAAGAAACTCATAATCATACTTAAAACATACTTGATTACTCTTTTCATTGGTAGCTCCTCTATTTGAGTCAGGGAAATGAATGTGACATCCAGTGTCTTGCATAACTACAAGGACAAAAACAGGAGAGTAATTAATAAGCTAACGTGTTTCTTCCATAACATCTCACAGTTTGGATGAAAATCTACTCACAGTAACACTCTATGACAGTATGCTTAAGAATCAGATCTTGGGATTTCCAAGGACTAAACAAGAAATCATTTGGGAGCAAATTGGCATGATTTGATCTTTCTTCAGAGGACAACAATCACATTGTGATCTGGTGTTTAGATGATTACAACATCCCATACTACAGCAGATTGGGACAATAAAGGGTCAAAGATTAGTGTATATGAAGGTCAGACATGTACTCCATGATAGTCATGAGACATATACATGTTATATACTGTACACATTTCCCTTTGGATTTCCCCTTCCAAACTTTTACAAGCCAGCCTAACTCCTCCTTTGTTTAACTAATCATATCTAGAGCTGCTTGACAAAAAGTTATTGTAAAACTTAATTTGGCTATTTCAATCCAAAGTGAGTCATTACTTTCATGTAAATTGCATGTTACCCTGATTGCATTTGCTACTCTTTTTTGTGGTGTACATCTGATGAATGCTTCAAAGGAAAGTATTGAAATCAGTGGAATATTAAGTAAGGACTTGGCTTACCTCGCTTAATATTCCCTCCTCCTTTCCCAATGATATGGGAGTGATCAGTGTGAGACACATCCATTTTAAGAGTCACCCTGTTTGACTAAATGTTGAAAGTAAACATCAAAATCAACAGTCTGCCAACAACCCTTTAGTGAAGACCAAAAAACCAAAACCTTATAAATTGAAACTGAACAAAGCAATTACAAGGAAACATTCTACCTTTGTATCTAAGACTGCCATGACTTTCTCTTTTGCTTGTCGCACAGAGTCTGGTAAGCCTGCTACTTTGATATGAGGATCTGAAAAAATTGATTACATATCACTTTTCCTCTTCCCAAATTCCTCTTGATCAATATTATTTTAAATACAACAAAACAAAAAAATTAAACCACTGATAACAACCAATCTGGCTCATCTAATAGCCTTAAATAGAGGTAAATGCAGCACATGCACTTAATATGCACACAAGAAAGTCTAATACTGAAATTAAAAAAAAACTCAATTGCAAATTTTCAACTATTGAAATAATAATTATCATCAGATGACCTGTCCAGTCCTGTTCACACTTTGCTATAGAAAACCAAACTGAAAGCTGACACAGTCATGTTAAAAAGCATACTACAGACCATGCAGACCAAGCAATTTTTTTGTTTGCTTTTTTTTCTAACTCTGATTTGCATATGAATAAGGTTTGTACACCTTTTTCATACTATTTTGGTAACATTGGAACAGTTTCAAATTTTTGGACACCACATGACATAATTCTATGAGTCATTTAAAGTTCATGTTACCTTGCAACAATTTGGATGAAATCACAGGTTCAAGTTTGTCTGGCAAATGGAGATTAGCCTCATGCCGCACAGGTGGAGATCAATGAGAGTAAGTTTATTTTAATTTGCCCTTGTATTTGATGTGAATTTCAGTTTTTGTCTTATACTTGTGTTAACTCTTTCTTTCTGTACTGAAGATGTAATTTGTTTGAACAGAGACACTGATTAAGTGATAAGGAATGGGCTGCATGGACAAAGCAAATAATTACCAGGATCTTCACAAGACAGCCCAGAAAACTTTACAATAAAGAAAGTGCTGCCAGCAAAAAAGCAAACCTTACTTGGAAATAAGAAGGTTTCTGAACCTACAGATAAAGTGGGGAAGGGTCAGGAACAAAATGGGAACTGGTCAGCAAAACCACTCAAAACTTCATGTACGTTTAGTAAAAAAATGATATCTGAGGACCTGTTCAACTTGTTCTAGGGGATCTGTTCATTCTTTGTACCAACCGAAAAATAAACATATAACTTGTGACAATCTCCAAATGATGTTTTGGCTGATATTGAATCAATACTCTAAAGATACCTCTGCAAAGATAAGAGACTATATTCACCAAGACTATATTCGCATTGTATTCATGCACTTGCACCTCACATTTTTTGAAAGGACAATGTTGTTAAGATGAAACATACATACACACAGTTTATGGAAGCTTCTGTAAATAAGGCTTTTCAGTGAGGATGATAAATAAAAATGTAAAATCATAGGTGTACTGGATTGAAGGGCAAATTGGTAAGTAACAAATAATTCCACAGTCTGCACAGTCTGTAGTTTGCAGTCTACATTTTAACATGACCAAAGCTAACATGTGTAGGGTCCAACAGGTTAACAATAGAGGGTCTGGATTAAGCTGTCTGACTCATTACAACCACAGGGTGGTTGCAATGTTTCAAAAATGAATTCTCCTTGAGGATTTAAACTTAAAAGCAGAAATGTGAAATTACATGTAAGGTGCATTTTTTTAACAAATTGTGTGTTTCTTATTCTGAATTCAAGGAAGAAGGGAAATGCTTTCATCATGAAATCTTTTCTTATAGTTGTTCAGTGCTCTTAATCTTGTCTACAACACCACATCCTATTTAGATTTAAACATACATAATTTCAAAATACATCAATTTAATGATAAAATACTCATTGACTGATAGAGCTAACATACCTTGCACAGAAAGAATGGAACTTCTCATTTTAAGTGCAAAATATAGATTTTCACAGTTCATTTGCTTTGACCCTTTAACTCCCAGAAGTGATTAACATGAAACTTCTCCCAATAATATCCATACATTATTCAGCAAACAGGTCATGAGAATATTCAAACTTCTTAGATAGAAGCTGCTATCTTGATCTAGCACCAAATTCTCATAACTAATTTAAAAGAAAATGTGTAGCAGCTGGAGGGGAGAATTAACAATCAGATCTTGGGAGTTAAAGGGTTAATTACCAGAGTGTACCTATAATTGTTTTGAAGAGCTGTATCGCTGCACACTACTCAGATAACAGTTTACATTCTACTGGTAAACCATATTCCACAACAGAGGAGTTAATTCAGAATAAAAAAATACAGCAGAATTACAAGTATACTGATTAGCATCATTCACAATTAATTTGCGTTATCAGACTAATTACAGAGCTACCAATAAAATCCAGTAGCAACCCAAACAACAACTTAGTCTGTCAGTTTAAACCAGCTACTTTATTCTAATACAAGCTTAATGATATGCTTATTAAAAAAAATACAATTATGGAAATACCATCTATGTACAGCTGCCATTTGCCAGTTTTTAAGGGAAACAAGTCCATAATTTACAAGTAGAAGTGACAGATTTACAAGGGTGAATCAATTCCATGGTAGAAAATTTCTGTAAATAGAACATGTGGGGTATTTTGACTTAATTTGGTTCCCCACTTTACACGTATTCTGAAAAAACTATATGGTCTCCACAACAACCTGGCTGCCTACCATTATTGTCCTCTACTTTCAAACTTATAGCCAGCCCTGCTAGTTTTTGTTACCAAATAAACCTCATTGGTGTAAGCTTCATGTCAAAATTGTATTGTTGAGCACTTCATCAAAAAGAAATGTCATACACCTGTCCTTTGGTTATCAGTGACGGTCCTTTCAAAAGTCAATAACAAAGTACTTGGGGAACATTCTTCTGGAGAACTAAATCTTGATTTCATACCTACTGAAAGGACCGAATTATTCTCCTTTTTTTGAGAGTTATTAACTAATGGATAATTATACTGTAACAGGTCTATTCTTTGTTTTGCATCAATCCAGATTTTATACTCAGTACTATCTGTAGTCCACAGCCATGTATTTAACTGTAGGAGTGTTTTCCTGTATGGGTGAGGGTTCAAATCTTGAACCAAACTGCTTGGGAAATAGTATCTATAAAGGGATCCAAAAATTCCTTTCTTTTTTTTTTTTTAAATGAAAGCTATTCTTTCCTTTTTCTCTAGGTAGTTAAACCAACTAGGATAATAAATTAGAATAAATCCTGTTTGTCAATGTTGTTGTTCTTACAAGTTTTTAATGTAAATTAAATCAACACATAAATGTACAGAATTACACAGTTACTGTTTGTTTGACCTCATCATATTTGAAATTTTGTTTCTTGGAACAGAAAATATCCAGACAGAGAGACAGCTATGTATACTGTTATGTTTCGCAAACAAGTATTCTAGACAACAATGGAATTGATAACTAATTAGATTATCATTTGGCAGCATTGGCTCATGCTAAGATACAGTTAAAAAATAATGCTTTGGATTTTTGTAATTTAAATTGTACTATAAACTTTCATGCTATATAACTTGTTGAGCGGTTTATAAATAGATTATAAAAAAATGTAAAGCAGGAATTCTTTGAATTAGTTCCACAGCTAGGCTTTGTTGCTCAAGTGTCAGGGTCAGGTCAACAACACTACTTGTTTACTCAAAAGCAAAAAGGCATCTGCATAGACTTTGCAGACTCCGTCTCCCCTGTACCACTGCCATTAAAATTACCATGAAATTTGTCACCATGTTATCAACGTGTTGTGATTTGATAATTTTCAAATGCTGCCTTGGATAGCATTAAGTATCCTGCTTATATCTCATGACCCAAAAAACCCAATTATCCATCCCTCAGATTTAAACAGTAAAAACAAATTATTAATTTTTCAAAGAAAACAAAAGTTTAAAATCACATAAAAAGATACAACGAAAGGAAAGATTGGTTGATATGAAATCAAACCATACCATAAAACTATCAACAGCAATGATGAAGGCTTCCTCACTGGTTGAGCTTTATCACTAGATACTTTAAAAAATTTAGATCTGATAAGCCTTAACCCAGTTTCTGCATGTACTGTACACCTCAGGCGGAACATAAGTCCTTTTCAACTGGTGTTTACATAAGTTACTACACGATAATAATGGCTAGCCATCACAATACCTCGATATTCACAAAACAAAGAAACTCTGTATTTTGCAATGACAATTACCAGTGGTTTTCAAATCAAAATATACAAATCAAACACAAATGAGAGGTCATTTCAATCGCGACTTGAAATTTATCATCAGACACGTACCGAGTAAGTTCGTAAACACGGCTCCTTGCTTTGAACTCACGTCATACTATGCAAATTAAGTCTATTGTTTATTTCACTAAAGTCGTAAATACTTAGAGAACATTATCAAATAACCCATGCGACTCGCGATCTTCCCAAAGAAACTACAAACATATCGACAACAAAATCATTTTCACCTCGCACCTTCTATCCCACACGAATTCAAAAGCAATTACGATATTGTAAAGCGTCGTTCGATGTAGAGACACGCGAAGGAACATATTTTCTGCGATAATTGTGTTTGCTTATCCTTCCCGTCGAGACATCAGTTTATTACGTTCGTGCTGGGAAATGTAAGCAACAAAAGGTAGATAAATCAAAGGGCACGAGGTCAGTTACCATGCGTGACTCGCTTCAGCAAGCGTGTCGCCGAAATGAATATTCCCAGTAGGATCGTACATGCATGAATGACTCGAGGTACCGACAAAACAGAAGAGGACAATCCTTTCCACATCCGTAACCTAATTGATTTCGCGAATAAAATACCGTTTAAGGGCTGTCGAGGTAAAATCCCACCGAAGAAAACGGGACATGTTTTTACTATCAATGTAAACAAGAGTGAGTCGCTCGGGCCAGAACAGAATAGAGTTTAGACACTCAACAATCAGTCAAAAAAGAAATTTCACAGAGCGTGCCATAACGGGCCCTTCCGATCAATACTGCGCTCAGGCGAACGCAAGATATTAGAAAGAACTAATTTCGACAAAATTAACATGCAACTAAACTTTCTAGCGCTAAAGCTGAATACAAAACATGTAGCAGCATAGGTCGAGGGAACAAACAATGCTGGAAGATAACCAAATACAATTTAATATTACGCCGTCGATTCGAGTTTTAATAGCTGTATCTCTTGAGAAGAGAATGCAAAACAGGCCAAGCTAGAAATAGAGCCAGCAGAGTATTGTTCTCCTTCTCCTCAAAGTTACAGTTTATCTCTACGAAACAATAGATTTCATAGTTTTCGAAGGACTCACTAAATTTCTTAGTTTACTTCACACCTTCCGGAAACGCAAGGGTCAGAAAACAATCGAAAAGAGAAACGCGATTTTCGTCTCGCACCATCGAACTCAGAGACCGCCTGAAGAAACAGTTATTTATAACAAAATAACTGCAATTATTATGCTTATCTTTCGAAAGAAAAGCTTGATACAAAGGAAATTAGCCACAAAAGAAAATAATTTTTTTCAATCCACAAAAAAGCTGTTTCTGGTATCATTAGTGATAAAACAAGGTCCTTCGAGACACGAGGAACTAATAAAAGCAAATGATTCATTTCGGTGAATTTTCTATTTGTGACAATTAGTATTAACAAATTAAAAAATGTTATTAAATGTTTGCGACGGAATACGGGCCAGCTATTCAAACGAATCAAAACAATCACGATTTCCACTTCAGTTTGCAATAGTTTGAGTATGTGACCCATGCTAAAAGCACACTACCATGTCAACGAAGCGCACGAGCCATTTCACCCTTCTCGTTTGAAATAAGTTGTTCCGAGCCAGTGAAATTTAATCAAACCAAGCTATCCTTGACGAACGTAAGAGCTGTTTACTGACTTACCTTTCTTTGATTTCGCTCCGATCTTGAGTTTCGAGGGCCATGTTATCGTGGTTGCCGTTTCGTCCATAATCTATGACACATACCACCACAAAACGATTTAAAACACAGCTGCAATTATCTAGCGAGTTAGAAACGATAATTTAACCTCCTCTAACCTTCTGGAAGAACTCTTCGCCTGTTTGTCCACATCCTGCTACCGCAGCTAAAAATCGCAAACATTAGGACAAAATTCAGCTGATAATTTAAGCAAAATAGAGTCGAGAGTAAATAAAAATCACGAGTTCCTCCAATTACTGAGCCTGACCTTGAAGCATTTGCTCCAGTTTACGCCGGTCTACGCGAAATCTCTCCTCCACGAAATTAGGATCCCGCTCCTCGATGGTCTCATCAGTGAGCAAATCTTCTTCTTCACTGAACTCGAGGCCTGTCGCCATCTTCATCGTTGATCAAGGCCTGTCAGGCCAGAGTGAGTGAGCAGGACAAATTTCACTCTGCATCGTATTGCGGTGTACGGTATCGTCTTAGGCCAATCACGTGGTTAGAGGTGACGTCAGACACGCCCTATTTAACACCAAAGTATCAATTAGGAAAGAGGCTAAACCAGCCAATCGTAACGCCTCGTAATGAAAAAATTGATGTTTGATTGGTGTCTCAATAGGTTGCTTTGCCACGTTAATTGGCATAATTAGTGATCAAGGACAATCAATATGTGAGGTACAAGATATTCCGAAGTAACCTTCTTCCTTTTGGTCATTCCAGCTGCACCGACAGTCTCAAATTCGCCGAATATTATGCGCGCGATATGCTTTTGTTTCGCTTTGATTTTGCCTATCGTAAAATATTAATTAGTTGCAGATCGTTCGATGAACTCCCGCTTGGTCGATCACGCGCGGAAATCATTGAGTCCGTTGAAAAACAAAGTAGCTAAACAACGCAAGATATTTAAAAGTCCCTTACTAATGATACTCAATTCGGTGCTCATCTGAAAGGAAAGTAAATGGGTCAGTGAACAGTACTCAATAAATGCACTCTAGTGAATATTCAAACGTTAACTTTTAGTTCTATAAATGGCAGATATCATCAACTTTTCCTGCTAAAAATATCCCCGGTATTTTTTCAATCAAGGAGGTACAAAAATAGATAAATAAGCTAGTTAGCAATATATTATTCTGTCTCCTCCCAATTTGTGCAACTGAATATGTATGTAGACTTGTCAGGAAATATATCATATATCGTCATAAAAGATATGTATTTTAACAAACAGATTAGTCTGCAAATTAATCGACTAAGATTTTTTTTTTCTACAAACCCCTATACTGAAAACTTCATGGCGCTGAGGCTCTTAATATCTATTGACCCCTAACTGAGACCATTTGGAGCGTTTAACTGCGTCTACCTTCGTCAGAGCTCGTTTAACGTTTAATTTCTTCATGGTAAAAACAAATTTAGCTTTTTCAAACTCTATTTCGCCAAAACTTTGAGTACATTCCAGAGTCGTTCATTCTCCCAATGGCATAAAAATGAATAATTCTCAAACAGACTAATGTGAAATTTTTTTCATCAATCGGATCTAGAGGATTGTATCAGATTTCCTTAGCAACTGCAATTAAACAGAACTAACGAGCTGTTGCTAATTTCCGAATAAAAGTCCAGTAGACATCTAAGATCTTAAGCGACAATAGCGGTTTAAACTTTAATTTCGCTTTCATCAACCACAAATTGCTAACTACACACTGCACGGAAACCATTGACCGCAGGCAAGTAGAGTAAGTTGATAAATTCATTGAAGCATTGAAGACAGCCGGTGCCATTGTTTCTTTTACAGAGATTCTCAATGATCGCGAAACGACCCGTTTAAAGCAAACAAGCACCCTTACGCGTTCTCTACATTCCAGATCGCTTAGTTCAGTTAACAAATGAATATTTATACAACATTAGCTGGTTGTGGGCTCCTCTGACCCGCTGCACACCTCTTCACATGAACGCTCTCACTCACATTCGCTCCACTGAACGGTAAATCAGCTCATCCTCGTGTGCGTCAGTATTCATGACCCGTTCAACGATTATCACCGGTACAATATATAGTTAGAGAGGCGAGCTAAGCTCTGAGAATATTGCACAAAAATCAGTGAACTTTTGCTTGAGGGGAGTCAACCGAAATAAACGTTGAAGAGGGGGCTAAGAGATTTCACAAGACACTAAAGCAAGCGAGAAAGCTCTCAATGTGACCGATAATTGGCAGGTAATGAGTACACACTGAGTTGGTTACGAACTACAAGTCTCGTCGTAAACGAGAAAGCCAGTTCAGTTTGACACGTTCACCGAGATACCTTCACCCCTTAATTATGTTATCTTCTGCTGATGTGATATAAACCAGGGGAAATCTGAGTCCATTTCTTACCCCCCTGGATTTCAAGGAAAGAAGGCATCACATTGCGTTATGAATTCGCTTAAGTTAATGCAATGTTCGATATTACGTGTAATGATTTAACGTATTATAATTAGAGGTGAAAAAAATATAGAAAAGTAACTAAACGGCTCTGTTTTGGTAACCTTTTACCGTGGTATCATTTCTCTCTGCACATTCTTCTCTCTGATTATTATAATCCAGTAATACAGTTTCCGCTCTCTCTCTTTTTGTTTTTTTTTTGTTTTAGTTTTCATTTTACAATTTTTTTTTCTGTTTGCTGAGTTGAAAATGAATACCTTCTATATTCGTTTCCTTATTTACTTGGTGGTTTCGAGAATTGCGATATCAAAGTGTACAAGCACTGCGCCATGTAAAGGAAAAATGCGTGCTTAAGTTATGTTAGTATCCTTTTCATAACGGATAGTGGAAATATAGGACTGTCTTGCAAATAATGTTACATTAATTGCAATGACTGAAATTTTTGGAGCTAATGTATCTGTTATTAGTTCGTGCATGTCACAGAACATATGTACTTGATGTCATAAAATACTTCTGATTAAGTGTCCATACCGTTAGCTACTGTAAGCGTGAGAAAAGAAGTCCATCAACATTGCACCTGCATCGCCGACTGATTTGCATCGTTTAATGAGATATGCATGGATTTCCAAAATCATGTTCTCTGCTATCCATCTCAATATTGCAAAAAAAGACTCAGTTGCAGGAGCGTGATAGACTCGGGATAAATCGCTATGTAACGCCGGGTTAAGTACTTTGCTAACACTGGACAAGATCTATTCTATGAGTGGCGGATGTAAATTCTCCTGCCAGTCTTCCAACAACCACGGTGTGGTGTGGCTACAAACGGATGCGCAGTCGTACTTGAAGCTGAATATCTTTGAATACGAGAGCCTAAACTGCGTTCTATTGGTAATAGCTGATCGATATTTACCTAATTCCCGAAGCAAAAAATAACGTAGCAATCAGTAGCAAGTAGAACAAGAAAAAGAAAGGCATACACAATAAAAACATTAATAAAATGAGGTTTCCATTCCTTTCACGATCGCCATTTTATCTCAGAAACTGAGCACAAGGATCAATTGAAATGCTGCTTCGATTACTTTGTGCCTAAATAATATTTGGGCTGTACAAATCATGTTGAAAAACGGATACCTCCACGAACTACGAATTTAATGAACAAGAACGCAAAAGAGGTAATTTACTTCCTACACGTAAAAGTAGATGGTAACGGATGGACAAGATTATCGATGATTAGGTAATAAAGAACTTCAAAAGTGTAAGCCGATTATTTGTGGTACGAAACCGATGACGTAACTCCTTTGATGAACAGCCTACAATCAGTCAGAGGTGACTGATACGAGAAAGAATGTGAAATAAAAGTATTGCATCGTCCATAGATGTCTAGATTATTGTTCATAGAATTCATAAACACAAACAAAACCGACCAGTTTACGCTGCCATATTAACTCCGCTTACAAGTATAACCACATAATACCTGAATCGACCTCTTAGTCTCCACCTCCGTCCATAGAACAAAAGAACGGAAACCTCTTCAACATTTTGTGACCTTGTATTTACCTGACGGAAACTATTGTGTAAGAGTTATTGAAGTTCATTTGTTTGTTTACATCACACCTGGAGATAATTAGTATTTTTAGTCACGTACGAAAACAACCCGTTCACTCCTGCACCACTCAAGATTGACATCTTGAGTGCGGGCCAGAAGCCAAGGTCACAAATTCGAAGGTTCTACAGGCAGCCCTATGACACAATGTCTGTAGTAACCATTGATCTCTTAACTCTCATACATCAAATCGAAAAAAAGGGTATAAATTTAAAAAGTGGGTATCGGCACGAGTGACATAAAAAAGTAACTTTCTCAAATACGCTTTCCAGTGCAGACTGAGTGTCAGGCTAGAATATTCGAGGGAGCAACAGCCATCCCTATGACACAATGTCTGTTATAACCATTCATCTGTTTACTCTTATCCACCAAATCGAAAGGAATTATCGAAAAAAGTAAGCTTTCTCAATTGCACTTTCTAATGGAAACTGAGGGCTGGGTTGGCAAAGTGTTCGCGTACGTTGCTTGGAGACTTTCATATGACATGTTGCATTCCATCTTTGAGAGTGAATAGTAAAATAGCATATACACCGGGATAAGAGCCACCCATTTTTCTCTAAATCTTGCTGTTATTTAACTTAAGAACCTTAGTTTAAAATATTTTTAACATTCTTAGTTGCTCACGAACTCTCAATCATTTTAACTACAAGTGGTGATACTGACGGGTCTGGAAAATTCTTTTCTTAATGCAGCTTTATTCTTCTGAATTGTTTATTTATTTATCACTTTGTTCAGGGACCGTGTTCGGGAATTGCTGAACATAGATAAATTGCGATTCTTGCTGAATCGAACCTCTATGACCGAGTTGGATAAATCCTATTTACACCTCTCAAGAAAGCTTTCAAATTCTTCCAATATGATGCACTCCTTAAAATCTTTGGTATGTTGCATCAGGGGCTTATTACATAGTTTCTACACTTTTCCAGACTCTCGACCGGTGGGAGCGAGCGATCAAGAGGGTGGGCGAAAAATGTGCCGTTGGCAAGGAAACGTTTTTTTTTTTTTTCGCTGCCTGACCCTGCCGTCTTACTTGCGGCACTTCCAATTTTCTTCTCGCTCATTTCCAGTGCGAACTTGGCACAGGCCAATTTGTTTCCGTCTTGTACCTTTCTGTTTTGGGTTTACGTATCGATTTTTTCAATTCCGGTCACGTATGCCCCCAAATACTAGAGATGATCAAGTTTGCGTTAGAAAAATCCACTGAAACAGGAGATACAGACTGGCTGCTGAGTCACAGACAACAGCACGAAAAACATAATATTAATGTAGCACCTGGCTCATTGTTTCATGCCTCGAGGGCACAACATCGTATCACGCCGATTAATTGTTGTCATTAATGAAAGTCTGGTGATATTTTGCAAAAATGCAAACAAAAGGAAATAGCGTAACATCACGAACACGTACACGTACGAGATATATTTGTGACTCACTTCCTCTGCGATCTCTGTATCACTGATTAAGTCCCCTTAAAGCTATGAAAAGAGGTTTGAACACAATCACTTCACAGAAATTAGCGCTCTTTTGAGGAGACCGAAAATGGCTGTTGCAGTTTTAATGGTATTTCTAAAGAAGATTAAAAAGCTGTCAAGTTAAGCATGAAAATGGCCCAAAACACTTCCTGTTTGTTCGTGTAATGTTGCATTCCTCTCACATTGCGTATCAAATGACGAGTCTTGAAACTATAGAGGAGGAACATAGAAGACATATAATGAGCAGCTCAGACAAAAACTATTCGGAAAAAAAAAAAACTTACGTCGAGTTATTTTTTGCCAAGTGATTGGATTGTATTGGTAAATCCCGTTAAGAGCACTCCACTTATAATATAAAAAGTCAATTCATAAACCACAATTATCCTTTCTTTATTCTTTTAATCCGCTGTTGTTGCTGCTGCGGTTGTCGCCTTTTTTCTTTACTATTGAATTGGTACAATGTATTTTAAGATACGTGGGCGTATTTAGCAAAAAAATGGTATTGGGTGGGCCGGACCAAGACCAGAGCCATTCCCCATAAGAGAGTGGTTCAAAAAGACGTCTAATTTCACAAAAATTCTCCCCATCAGGAGAAGAAACGTCTTTTCTTCTATCCGACGGTGGATATAATAAATATATCGCCGACAGGAAACTTAACACTTGGGTAGACATTCTCATTGCCCATGGGGCACAGTCAGGATGCTGACAAAAGATGCTCAAAGTCTGGGGTGCATATCAGGCGATGATTTGTATGTCCTAGGCACACCATCTCTGACCTGTCGTCTTCCGTGTGAACAGCGACAACGTCCTAAGTAAAAAATACAGTCAGATTTGTTTGGTTGATGAATCATGGGTTTTTTGGTTTCTTTTTTTTTCTTTTGGTCTGTTTTTGATCTTTCTTTTGTGACGGAAATTGATATGGAGCCCTTAGAATGTTGACCAATCTCTATAGGGGTTCACCTCTCCTTACAAATAATATCCCAATAGGTACTTGACCTGTAAAACCTGTTTCTATACCTCACGACAAAGTCTCGTATAACGATTTAACAAGAGGTCTTTTGTGATCACTCTAATTTAATTCTAAGGTGGTTTCACTTCTGTGCATTTTCTCCAAAACACTACATGCACTTAAACGTCACAATATGCAAAGTTTGTTTAGTAGAGAAAGTAAAGAGCATACCTGTAAAAATCCACATGGTGTTCCCATGGTTACATCGAGAGCCACATCCCCCAAAAGCAATCTACAACGGCAAATTTTTACTGTTGAATGTTTTTCGATTCTTTTAAACATTTGTTGCGTTACAGTTACAGCTCCCATTCAGGCAGTGCACACCAGGGATGTTTATGTTTCTCTCATTTATCCGTTACACTACTTTGATCAGCTTTCCCAGCTCATCAAGTTTAATTGATTTAACCTTACCAACTTATCATATCTCTAGACTCGATTTCTTTAGTTCTGTTGAGTTTGCTTTGTTTTCTTAAAAGGAGGGGTTGGAAGGTTGGTCATATGTCTGCTGATGCTTCCAAGCTTGGCCACAAGAGACTCTTTTTAGGAGTGATATTGTTCGACCATAACTTTGTATAGGTATGTCACCGGCGCCCGCTTACTTTTCCTCAGTGACGGTGCGCAAAAGATTTAGGAGATGAATGGTGTATATGAAAGGCATAAATGATACAGAGACGAAATGGTACATTTTCTTTCTTCATACCTGGCTTTGCCAGATCTCAACAGCTGAAGTTTACCAATATAACCCTCGGATGCATTCTTGAGTGACAGCCTTTGAGGTTCTTTAGACTTCAAAGTAAGAAAATATTATATACATGAACATCAAAATCACATTACAATAATTATTATCCATTGAGGAAATTTAATTTATAGTTCAAGGTTAATTCCGTTGATTATAAGGTTATTTGCTGAGTAATTTTATCAATTTTGACAACCAGTTTAGTATAAAGCCGCATCGTTTGATTCTAGCCAGTTGATCTAAATAGCTGCTTTCAGCAGATGAGGTTAAGTTCTAGTCTAGCCACGCCCTCTGACAAAGTGTCAGTGTCTGCAAATGCTATATCCCAGAGTTCTTTCAAGAGTTTTAAGCGGGAAAGAAGTCACTCAGATCAGTTATATTGCGTTCTGCGAAACTCGTCTGGAAATGTTGAATGACCGAGATCTTTCGAATGTTTGTGGCAAGAAAGCAATAACTACATTGTTATCCAAGTTCTGGACAAAACTGTGAGAAAATGTAACATGACCGAGTTCTTATAAATATTTTTCTAGAGAATGCGATGAATCTTGGTATATATAAGTTAAACGATAAACAGTAACCGTGGCTGAGTAAAGCTTTGAGAGTTACCCAAAGAACGTTAAATATACTTTTCCAAATTTCATCGTATGCCAAGCCGATACTGTTTCACAAGGATCAACTTTACAATTGGAAAAACCTTGCGGTAAAACTCGTCCCTAAATCTAAGGATCACTTAGTATGATCAGCCACACCACATTCAAGGTAAAATCCAACCTTTTCTGATGTAGCTGCTTGTTCACTGGATGTTCCCTCTGTAGTCATTGGCTCATCTTGGTTATTGGGGGGTGATCTGATGGGCATCACATCAGGAAATTGAAAAAATAGTAACTTACGCTCTCCCTGAAAAAAAGACATTTTGATCATCCTGGTTACTGTCTTGCATAATACAACTGATAAAAATATATACAGTGTGTGTGGCTACAGTAAAATGTGAAAAAGAAATAGAGCGAAATGCAAGTACAAATACTGCATGGAGATATCATTTACATGTAGAAATACACTAAACGAAATTACTAAAATAACAGAGGGACTTTAGTAAAGTGCTTGCTTGTGGTCAGAGAAGTAATCTAAAATTATCCTTTTATCAGTTTCATCCGTACCATCGATGTTGCTGACAAGAGACTGGAAAGATTCGCTTCATCCTGTGTTTCTTTCTTCACTGCTACTTGTTTCACTGGTTTCTTCATTGTTTCCAAAGGAGGGGCTTTTCCTGAATCAACACTGTCCACATCCATGAGCTCACTTTTCACTAATTTGCAAAAGAATATTTAGTAAATAAATCCCTTCAAACGGCTGGTATGTCGGCTGATAATTTCCGCGGTCGAGATATTGTCTGAAAAATGAATATTTGGCCGAGAAGCGAAAGCTTTCAGGGTAAATGTAAAATTCCACCATTACTTTTCGTATCGAGAAATGACAGTAAATTTGTTGACTTTTTTGTGCTTTCCGGAGCAGCATTGAAAAATATAAAAAAGTGAACTCCTGAGTTCGTTTTTTTCGCGCTGGCTTTGTTTATTTATGAGGACAAATATCGACGTAAACGAGGGTTATTACGTGATAACTATCCGGCGATTTAATACCAAGTGACATAAAGTAACAAATAGAGTCGCGCGAGAATAAATGGGTGGGTTAATGGAAACTGAAAATAAAATACTTCAGCCGACGTCAATGACATAATTCTTTTGAATTTTTCCATTAAAGAAAACAAAATGCAAACACCTGAAAGCTGAAAATAGGCTGGGAAATAGGTTCATATGAGACAAGCATCCTGCATACTACTATGATCAGTAATATCCCAGGCATTGTGTGAATACATATAAAAACTAGTCGAGAAAGATTTTTTTCCGTCTTGTCACGAGCGTGCCAGACAAAGAAAAAATTCTGAGTCCCCACGAGGAATCGAACCTCTGACCTTCGGATTCCGCGCTCTAACCACTGACCACAGAAACTCCACGGTAAGCGAACATTCAATATAGTCTTCCTTATTCTATGAATCCCGAATCATAGCATGCTTCACGTCACCCAATAGTAATTGCTGTGAACTTAACCACAGGCAGAGCCAAGTTGAAAATAAACAAATGTATATACTGCACCTTTCATGTCATCCTGCATTGTGGCAGACTCAGCTTGCTTTTCATTCATCCTCACTGCATGAAAGGACAGTGGCAACTGTACGGGCATGATGCCAGATTCACTGTCCATATCATCATTGATATCGCCCTAATTACCATTAATCAAAAAATAGTCATGAGTGAATGCACGTAACTGATCAGACCTATGGGTATCTTTCAACGTCTACTACATTGTATAATGTCAAATGATTTCACACAATCAGATTTTTGCCAAAAATCGTCATGTATGTGTGCCCATGTTCTGTAAAACTATGTTTTGACCCAGGTCAGAAAAACTGGCTCACACACCTCAAGACCAGGCTCACTGGTGAACTGTCTGCATGATAAAGTCAGAGCAATTTCCAACTGAGTTTGGAAGGTAACCTAGGACTGTTTTGCTTCACTTCCCTTCATGATTGATTTAAAAATTTGTGCCACCCTCCAAACCAATCAGATACTCTTTTAAAACTAAATATCCCTTTTGGATCTATTGTGCTGTTAAAACTCTTTGCATTAAGGTTAGGCTAATAGCCCTGAATCAACATTTACATGCATCCATATTGTTATAATATTGAGTAATCATGATCACTGAGATCACATGTTGCTTTGCAAGTCAGCTTCATTATAGGTCAAATCACTTTCAACTGATTGTTACAGTTATAATATTACTAGGAAATTGTACACAAATATTAAAACTACATGATCAAGTTGGTAAATAGTGGTCATGAAATGATATCATTCTGAGTCTTACACTTGTTTCTAGCATCTTGAGAACCCTTCTTGATTCTTCTTCATCATCATTACCCCTGCAACATTAATTTTGTGTTTACATGACACTCTCTTGTTTAAAGAGATGGTACCTTGAAAAATCCAAGTGAGACATATGTTCATGTAATGAGCTACTTTAGACAAACGACTTTGCTCCACCCGCACAGAGTTTCTGGCTTGAGCTATACCTTCCACCTTTTGGGATAAGTAGTAGTACCATGTACATAATAAAATCTTTTCTTTGAGAATGATGTAGTGGTTACTTGCTCCAGGGGCCTAATTGTGAATGTATAGGGCATAACAGATGATGCCGAACAACCAAGGCCAGATGTATTGCAGATAAGACATAAGGTTTAGTATACCCTTCTTTGGTTTAATACCTAGAAGAAAAACAACTTACATGTTGTACCCTTCTTTCTTAATTTTCACACCAGGATGACTGTCCCTTGTTCCAGATGCTCCATAATCTGGAATAGAACTTCCTTGTCCTTGATTTGAAATAATAAACCAAAATATCACCATAGAAATTGCAATTTGCCACAAATATTGATTTCCATTGACATGTACATGTAGAAAAATATACTGTAACATAATCATCCCAAAGGTCTCACTTAATCAAGTAAGCTTTCCAGCTCACCAATTCTCTGTTTCTCAACAGGGCCCACTCCCATTGAAAAAACTGAAGATGCCTGGATAATGTTTGGTTTGCCTCGATGGCCTCTGCCTCGTCCTCTACCCTCCCCACGGCCTCTTCCCCTTCCTCCATCTTGACGTCTTCTCTCTTCTGACCTCTAACAAAAAAAGCAAACATTTAAAAGATCTCCCTTGTTTATCTTAAGCTATGCACCTCAAACAATTTTGTAATTTAAATAATTTTTTTTCATCGCATGCTACAAAAAACCGGAACTTACAATATTTAGAGGTTTACAGCAATTAAAACTAAACTAAATAAAAATTAAGAACTTGCTCCAAACTACCTATAGCAACAGCTTTCTTTAACCTTACCCCTGGTGATTTGGCAGATTCCTCTTTTGGTCTAAATGGGAACAACAGAGAAAGGACAGTGAATTAAGCAGCCAGAAAAAAATAGTGTCATTGAGGTTTGAACATTTTTGGTTGTGTTTGCTTGGCTAGACAAGGCAAGTTAGAGATGCTCATATAACCATCTGATCAGTCTGAGTTGGTAATATCAACTGTTCAGTTTGAGCTCTTAATGGATACTTTATATGTCATGCTTTAACTAGGCAGTGTGTGTCGTTTGCACATTCTCTTGCTCTGTGTTTCATTAACATTTAAATTTAAATTATTTAGGAAAACGTAAAACCAGACATTCAATGGATTAACTCATAACATGGCTTGCAAGCTTGGTAAAGAGATATCTTTGCCTTGTGCCCTCAGCCAACTACTGTACATGTATGCTTAGCTCATACTTCCTGGCTTCAAAGAAAACAAAACAACTATTTTATTGTACGTGCTAGTGAAAGTATTTCTCTGTAATCACATTCCTCAGTTAACAAGTCAGACTGTTTAATTTTGCATAAGACAGGCTACATTTATGATCAGTCCAAATTAAACTCCAATCAATCATCTTAACATTTATGATTTTAGTGTCTTACTCCTGTTTAATCCTCCTGGTGGGTATATTTGGAGTGAATGTCCTCTGAAATTTTAAATGAAAGCCACATTAAACAACAACAACAAAGTTTCATTATTTTTAGATAAATTTGCTTATTTAAATATCCCTAGCACTGAATTTTACAGCCTTTTTTAAGGGAAATACACTTGCAATAACAGCGGTTACACATGAAAAACAACTCTCCTAATGTTGACAACCTGTCATTTTATGATTTCCAAAACAAATGCAGATTTTTTTTCTATGAAAAAAATATAGTCCCACTCTCAGAGCAGAATAGGATACACTCACTCAAAATTTTAATATGCACAGTAATAAAAACAAAAGGATAATGCTGCTATGAGTCAAGGATATGTACTTGGAAACTTAAACTAACAAATGTTTGGGAGAAAATAAGCCAAGAAAACATAAATCTCCACATCTCTTACATAATGATTATTAGTTTATTCCTCAAGCAATTTTGAATTTGCATTTTCAACCTAATTACTGGTAGACAAGACTGCCATTTAAAAATTTATTTCAAAATAACTAAGATTCACCTTTGGCGTTGAACTGAAAGAAAGTTTAGGTGTAGCTCCAAGGGTCAAATCTCTAGCTGGTCTGAGTGATGGTAGTCTACCAGGGCTGTAAAACAATAAAGTATTATAAATATTATTATTATTATTATCATCATCATCATTATTATATTACTGGTATTATTAATTATAACCCCAAAACAGCTGGATCACTATAGTTGTACTAAAAAGTGATTGAGTATTCTTGCATACATGTTTTTATATATAGCAGTGAACAATCCCTATTGAGTTAATTATTGCATGATAAATCACATTTTATCGCAATATCCAATTAGCCCTACCTTGGGGATGTATTATTGAGTTGTCTTGATAACAATGCTGAAAAAAATGTAACATAAGGGGAGCTGATGATTTTTGTATACATGTACATGTATGCATTTTGCAATGTAAAGTGAAATCACCACAAACCAATCTCTACTACGGAGAAATTTTAAATGAAGAGGCGAGAGTAATCTAGGATTGCTTAGTTTTGCTTTAATTTGCTACGTGATTAATTCAGAAAACTCGCAAATCGCCATTTGCTTTGTACTACCCATCAGGCAGTTTCCCTGATTTTCTTTGCATTCTTTTAGGCTCCATGTAATGTCTTCCTTAGGTTTGTTGTGATTACTTTGGCTGTGGTTTTACAACACCCAATTGGAGCGTCTTTGATGAACGGGAAACACTCATACACGCATCAATTTGCAAAGTGAAGCAACTTTACAACCTGATTTTATATACAAACCTCTTGCTCCCAAGAGTGGAGTTTTCCTTGAGCTACTTGGTACCTCTTTATCAGCGTTGCCATCTTTACTAGACATCACTGCTGCTCTGTTTGCACAAACAATTCGTTTTCCCGCTATCGGTTCACCAAATTTTCCTTAATTCTGGGTCTTTGAGAGTAATTACGCTAAAGTCCTCCATATTGAAATGTATATTGTGTTGGCCAGCGGTCACTGTTTGTGAATAATTGTATTCAAGTAAATCATTAGTGTTATCCCTACCTTTTTCCTCGAGAGGTGAACAGAATGTGTTTTTGATGATTATCGGGATGGAAACGCGAAAAAGCTAAACAAACTAACCAAAAGACAATAAAAAAAAAAAATACAAAACAATTCGCTCTGACGAAGGGCTAACGCCCGAAACATCAGCTATGGAAACTCTTTACGGCGGCCAATTTACATCAAATTACCTAATCAAACAAAAATAAAGGTTTACAGTTCTCATGCCTCGTTATACTGTTGTAGATAATGAATTACTTATACACCACCTAGATGAGATCATGAAATTTATAAATTTTACAACACTCTTAGTCTTTCTACAATGTCGATCCACAAAACTTTCTTCAAATGACTTACAAAAACGTTTTCCACCTTTCTGCGCAAACTGTACGACTCGTGGACAAAATAGATACTTTCAGTTAAGGTCGGTAAATAAATGTTTTTTTTCATCTGTTAAGTGAGATATGAATGTCAAAGTGTAATTATTAGGACAATACAGTTACATTGTTATTCTATTCTACAATCTACGTCTTTTTTCTTAACTGTCTACATACTTAGATTTTAATTCACCGGGTGTTAGGTTAAGAAGAGACGCTAATAATATTTTTCATGTTGTCGGTATTTAACACATTGCCGGATGTTATTCATTTTCACCATCTACAGGCAGGAAAACAAACAAAAAGTACGTAGATATTGTTTCGACTGTTACTACGAAATTTGGGAGCGGCCATTTGGAATAAATTAACTCATTTTGTTATCATCCAATGTTGATTTCAAGTTTCTTAGCTTCTCCTTCCCCAGCGTTTTTTTTTTAATTAAAATCAACAACGGATAATAACAAAATAGAGAATGAAGTGAGATATGAATACCAAAATGTTAAGATTAGGATAAAGCAGTTACACTGTTATACTATTTTAAATTCTACGTCCTTTTTCTTCACTATCTACATGCTTAGATTTTAATTAACCGGATGTCAGTTTAAGAAGATGCGCTAATAATTCTTTTTTGGTTGTCGATATTTTCCACATTGCCGAATGATATTCGTTTTCACCATATACAGGCAAGAAAACAAACAGAAAGTACGTAGATGTTGTTGCGATTATTACTTCGAAATCTGGGAGTAGCCATTTGGAATGAATGAACTTATTTTGTTATTATCCGTTTTTTGTTTCAATTTTTTTAGCTTCCCCTCCCTCAGCGTTTTATGAATTTTTGAATTAGCTAAATTTATTTTTAAGAAAGGTTTGTTTTTATTCTATACAGCTTTCTGATTGGTTGGTTTAGTATTGTCCTGAGTTGAATAACCCTCCCAAATCATCAGTTTCTTCTCAAAACTCATAAGCTGCTCGATGCTCACTAGGCAGGGCTTGAAAACCTTCAGCAGTATCTTCACATGACTTACTGATCAACCTATACATAACTGTGGGGATACATACGCTATGAATTCTGAACACCAACTGGATAATCTTAAGAAGTGCAAGAACAGAACAGAGCTCGGTGCTGTTTCAAGTGATACTCAACGACCACTTAGTCTTGATGGGGTGCAGATTGTTCTTACTGACCAAACAGAAGATAACAAGCCCATTGGTTTTTCAAGTGGCGGAAGTTCCAAAGCGGAATTGGAAAAGGAAACAAACAGGCCAGTGGATAATATTTCCAGCACAGTCAAAGGAGAAGCGAGTGGTATTCGCATGAGGCGGATGGGGTTTGTTGCGGCCAATCACTCGGAGCTGACGAAGATGAGAGTTTTGCGTAAAAAATTAGGTGAAAATGTGGAAGGAGAAGAACCCCAAACTTTGGTCAAGAAAATGTAAATATTATGATGTCCTGTTTTTTCATATTTCTGTTATTTTCATGAACGCCAATCGAAGACACGTCGCATTTAGTAAACGGCCCATTTTTTTTATTTCTCTTTTTTTTTTCGAGTGGAAAGGGAACGCATCTTACAGATCCCATTATATTGTATACTTTAACACGTTCAGCCGGAAATTTCAGGGTCAACAAAATCTTGAAAGAAAAAAGAAGGTTCTCACAGACTATGATATTGTTTGTTTCGAAATTAATAATAACCATTACGATTTCCTCAACTGTATGAGGAATATTTCACTGATCATTCTGTACAGTTGAAATCAGACGGTGCAATTGGACAGTTGGTTGTAATTAGACACCTGTAATCGGACAATTGAAGCAGCCAATCATAGTCTATTCAGCTAAGTCCACCAATAACAGAGTTGATCACAATAACCATAGCAACAACCACTTATCCTGAAAAAATAACTGAGGAATATCCACAATGGAGGATTTTTTTCCCATCGATATTTTGTCTACCGGATATGTTTTATGAATAATTGGTAAAACGTTCGTCCAATTTTGTTAATCACTCGTACGCTTACAGACCGAATTGAACTCCACTTAGTCCTTTTACCATTATTAATGAAAATTAGTTCTGTAAACATGGTATAAATCAAGAGATTATCCTTTCCTGGTCAAAATTGAGAAGGAAACCATGTGGACAAGTTCTCGGAGGGTTTGACATTAAAAATATAATGTTTTAAGTTTCAAAAGTTCCTCGGGTTTATTATAGACTCGTTATTACAATTTTTTCTTTTTTCTTTTTCTTCTAACTGGAGATAAATTTACTTGACAGCACCCTATTATATTGTCCTCTGCTCTGTCATACTCAGAGAAATATTTTTTCTCGATTTCACCCCTTTACTTTCAGGAACAACTCATTCATCACCAGTATTAGGGACACAAAAATTCATACAAAACCACCCGTTCAATGGTGTCATATAGAACATGATCCAGATAGCTACGAGGTCGGAAATTTTGAAATGTCTGCTATGTTCTTATTTACCTCAAAGTTCGTTTCAGTCGTTATCCTCAACATCATGGCGCAGCCGAACTGAGAGAAAGAAAACTGACCAGCACATTGTTTCTTGTCACTCTTGGATCGCTATTCTTCCAACAATAATATTTATAAGTTTATTAGTATTTCATTTCGAATTTCTTAGGAGTTTTTCCACACTGTCATCCTTTAACTTTCTTCTGGTGATGGATTTGCTTTTTTTCACGAACTCGCTCATAAATCCTATAATCTATGCCGTCCGAATGCCCAAAATGAGAGCAAGTGTAATACAACTTTTATTCTGTAAGTCTTAAAGTCACTCCAGTCCAACTCAGTCGATTTCCCTCTTCGCAATCTTTAGTCTGTTTGCAGATTTTGTTACAAGAGTCGCTATTCAAAAATTGAACAAAACATCATCTACGTGTACATCAATAGATTTAAACCTAAAATTATTGGAAACAAAGATCCTTTTTGGTTTAAAATAAAATGAAATTATTAAATTATGTGTAACATCTTCTTTAAAAATCGCTTCAGACTAAGCCAGCATAAGTAATTGCATGGGCCGAGTAAGATTAAGTATAAACGATCACAAGTGTTTTCAGAAGTTGCAGAAATTGCCCGAGTCACGAACGAGTCCTCTGGAAGCAAAACGCTGTAAAGTCGGTATTTCGAAGTCTATCGTCTTCTTTATCAGAATAGTTTTAAATATCGACCACATTGGTCCAATGTCTATTACCGTTCTAACTTTAGTGACAACATCTAAAATATTCCTTTGCTGTTATTTGCGTTAAAAATGACATGACACATAATTTTACAGCTGGAAGCTAAACCGGAACTCTCCTCTATCCTTAATAAGCCCTAACATGAGTGGGGCGCTTGAAAAGTGTGCCTCACTCAAAGATCTCACGCAGCGCGGATTTTGCCGAAAAGGAGGGACTATTTTTAGACTAGGCCATTTTGGACGTCCATAATTTGTCCCAGCACTGACTAGGCTGGTTTCAATTTTTTTACAGCACTCTTGCAAACAAAGCTCGGATGTTGACTAAAATGACAATAGTCGCTTCTACGCTTCGCGTATCCACGACTAAAAAAACCAAATGATTGAACTCAAAATCGGAGGTAAAACGGCCTATTTGAAGTGCATATGAAAATAAAATAATCTTGACACCAAAATTGTTCAAGTCTTACACATTCGCTTCGTCTTCCCTCTCGCTGACTTCGTCGACATCAGCCACGGAAACTTGGTTTGATGCATGGCGGCAGCACAACAGTTTGCGGAATTCTGTTTGGAACCCACAATTTGTAAAAGCGTAAATAAAAGGATTTATTGTGGCACTTAGAAAAAGAAAAAAAGTAACGAGATTTTCTGCTTTTCTAAGACAGGTTTCTGGAGAAAAACGCTTCCAAAGGATGAATGCCCACATTGGTATCCAGCTACACAAAAATCCAGTGGCCACGTACAACAAGACTCGAGTAACATGTATCTCCTTCAATGAACTGCTTCCTCCACAATTAGTCCTGTAACGGAGTGATGGAGCTGTGTTCACTTGATGTTGATGGGTAGTGGATAATACCTTGTAGTAGCTGAACATACCACTGCATAGCGGTACAGTGAAAAACAGTCCAAACATCATGCAGAAATGAACGATTCGAACTCTCATATTTGCGAAACCGAGAGCACATACTTCAAAGCCAGGAACGAATTCAAAACTGAGTAAATTTGTAGCTCGACCAGTCAATAAGTAAAGAAAAAGGAAAATCCAAACACAACACAACCAAATTTTGGATCTGAGGGGCGAAAAATATTTTTTGTAGTGGTTCGTCTTTACAATTTTCACGTATCGGTTAATTGCAGTCAAACCAAGGGTTGCAGGGGTTGCGTAAGTAGAAAACACGTCAATAAAACCTTGCATTTGGCATACTGCGTCGCCAAAATCCCATCTTCCAATGATTAGCGTTGTAGATGCTAAAGGCATTTCTATTGTTGCACAGAGCAGATCGCTGACTGCTAAGGCAATGATATACAGATTTGTGGTTGATCGCATGTTTGGGTTTCTGTATGCTGCCATACAGACCAGACTGTTTCCAATGATGCTTGTAATGTTTAGTGCGACGCAAATACTTGCTTCGATTAAAAGAACAGGTAGGCTTCGATTTGGCAGCTCTAAGTTTGACATCTAGTGGAAAAAAGAAATGAGTATATGAGAGATTAAAAAGGGGCAACTGTATAAATGAATGTATGGTTCATAAAAGAGAAATGGAAACAGACTCCTAAAGTTCTTATGCGCGCACCAATCGCTTCATACACCACTGCCTAAGTAGTGTTCATTACTGCGAAGATCGCTTACGTTATCGGATTGGAATCGTAAATAATGCCTTGCGGAATTCTCTTTCTTTTTCTGTTTTTCTCGTTTCATTGTTCTCCTTATCGTGATTATCATGATCATAATTGTGGAAACCATTATTATAATCATCATTCTTGCAATCATTCTCATTTTTTGTTATCATTCTCATTGTTGTTATAATTATTATTATCATAGTTCAGAATTGGTGTGCAAGAAATTTACAATAATTTACTTTCACGCTTTACTTGAATCGAGAAAACAGATATCCGCGCTGACTCCTTTCGCTTCTTTAAGCATTTCTGTTTTACTAGTGATTTAGATTTTAACCGGCCAAGGAAGAAGTAGATTTGCATATGTTATAACTCTAAAGCTGACAGTGAATTAATGTGCTTCCTTCAACCTTTTGTCGCTTAAGAAAGCTTGTTTTTATCATTATCATAATTAAACGTTTTCGGTGCCGGTGCGCTTATTTGAACTCTACGTTTTCCTACTTTTGAATTAAAATTTTGTTAATGTTCTGCGTTTTTCTCTTCTGCTTCTTTTGGCAAGCTGTATTGAAGGTCTCCTTTCTTTTCCTTCCTCTTTTTTTTTCCTGCTTCTTTTGGCAAGCTGTATTGAATGTCTCCTTTCTTTTTATTCCTCCTTTTTTGTCCATTAATTGAAAAAGGCAGAAAAATTAGGCGGTCCACGCATGCTTCCCACTTTACTTCTTTTGTTTCTCAATGTTAATCCATAAGTGCACGTTGGTGTAGAGAATTGTTTTCTGACAAAATTTTTACTGACATAGGCATCAACAAGGAAACGCAACAAATGGATTGTACTCAAAACGGTTATCACTTATTTCCTTTGGTCCAAGTATTACAAAATGGAGTGTCAAAATATGACATCCTATACTTGCTACCCCATCGTGCTGTCAACCTACTTTAAGCTTTGAACAAATCGATAATTCTCAATCCGTTTCCATAAAACTGAAAAAATGGAAATTCAAGTTACATGCAAATTTAATAGATATGACGAGAGTAAATGCAGCGATTATTTAGATATGTGGAATTTTACTCACCCTGCCTGAAAGAGAAAAGTACTTTCCGCTCTTAATTTTTTTTTTTTGGCTTGTTAACTTTCCCTGCGCTTAAGCTCTTAATTGCAATGGAAAATTAACATTTTAATAAAAAATTCTGTCTTCCGCGCTCAAATTGAATTACTTTTCGGCAGAAAAATTATAATTTCTGCCCTTCTTTGTATAAACCGCAATTTCTCGTTACTTTCACATGTCCTACGCGTGCAATATTTCATTTTTATCGTTGGTTGCCCGAATTAAAGGCCTAATTATGTATTGCAGCAACGTTACAGTAGCAATGGCGTAGTATTTTGGCCTAAGGAAAATTATTTTTCCCTTTAAAGACGTCATTTCAAAGAGTTAGAAAATATGGTTACGACCCCTGAACATCAGTTGTTACTTCGCACTAAAACTTGGAACAAAGAGTTAGCTGTACACGCCAATTCATTCCGTTTCAGTTTTATCCTATTTTCTTTATCAATGTTTTTCTTGCTAAGGAAGTTTATTTGCATGTTTTATCTGCATGTTTATATGCATTCACTAAGGTCGGCAATAGACTATTATGTTTTCTTATGTTTAAGCATTTTCTATTGCCTGTATAAGGGTTTAAGTTTTAAACTTTCATATTTCAACGTTCCTTTTTCACTTTGTGCTAAATAATCTCCATTGATTTTCCTCTTTAACCCTTTAACTCCCAGAAGTGATTAAAATGAAACTTCTCTCTATAATATCCATACCTCATTCAGCAAACAGGTCATGAGACTATTCTAATTCATCACATAGAAGTTGCCATCTTGATCTAGCACCAAGTTCTCATAACTAATTGACAAGGAAATGTGAAGCAGCTAGAGGGGAGAATTAACAATTAGATCCTGGGAGTTAAAGGGTTAAACTTTTTATTTAAATTTCCAAAGCCTTCCTTTTTCTCCTCAGCAGTTGGAAGTCGTGTATAAAATTGAAATCGACGGAATGTTTGGCAATTCCTTACAGGCTTTCGGGCCAAGTCCTGTTACAACAGAGTTCTTTTCACATATCTCCACCGGTTCATTTTGGCGAAGAAGAGAAGTTAACGAACTCTGACAACATCTATACAAAGACAAATGACACATCCAACGAATTTTACATGAAAGAGTTATAATTGATGGCCTTCAGTTCAAGCGTTTATTAACGGAATTGTCGTAACATAGCATCCTATTTCTGAAACTCTATCTTGTTGTCAGTCCTTCCTGGATTTAGGGTGAATCTATAAAAACTCTTATAATAATTAGTGGTGTTTTTCATCTGTTAACATTATTTACAAGGCTGATGGGAGTTTTTTAAGCTAATAATTATCATAGCCTATGTTTTCTAAAATAACCTCGGGTTCTATATAATTTTAGAAGGCGATGACACTCATAATCGAACGGAGCGTTTGCATCGCACAGCCATTGAACAAGAAAAATTGTAGATCGAGAACTGATTAACTATCTTTCCTAATATGCACAAAATTGACGTTTTTCTCAATTTTCATCACAGATGACAGGTGAATTTAGGGTGAATCCACTAAACATTGAAAAGAGATGGTGGTCTTTATCAGTTGCAGAAATATTTGAAGGTTGAAAACAATTTGTTAGGTAAATAATATTCATGGCGTACCTTATCTTAAACAACGATTTTAGGTGAGTCTGTGGGTTACTTATGGTTTTTCAGGGATAATGCTCACAGTCGAGCAAGACGTTTTCATCTGAGAATCAGCATTTCATAGGCTTAACTCGGCCTGTCAATAAGAAAATTGGAGATCGCAAACAGAGTAATTATCCTTTTTAAGATGTACGCAACCGACGTGTTTCTATTCTTTACTTCTTCCCCAATGATAGATGTTAATTAAAGCTAGGTGTAATAAGTCTGAAAAACGCGATGATTAAGGGATGACTGTCGTCCATGGTAAGGGATCTAAATAGGGTTAAGATTTCTTGTCACTGTTACACCATCCGATCGGTTGATTTTGACTAGTAAGAAATGTCAGCACCTCACATTAGCGTCGTTTAACTAATTTAGGTTACTGGGGTGTTACACGGGTATGATTTCCGGAACGCCGAATTCGCGGCTTTCGAGAGCGATTGGGCTTTTTTCAATCTTTGTCCATGGGTATTGGAAGATAGTTTGGAGTGTAGCTGAAACTACCAATGCACAGAAGTAAAATGGAAAAAAATCCAATTACGATGCAATGATAAACGGTTTAAAGGTTCGTATTTGCGAAACCAAGGGTAAAAGGGAATGATGCATCAAAAGAGGATTCAACTTTGACAGAAGGATTGAGGGATTCCATGGCTATAAGTCTATTAGGATGATTTTCCTTTAAAAACGTCTACCCCTTCCTTTGGCAAACAGTTCGCAAACAGCGGGTACTTTGATTATTGCATGTACTTATGAAATTGTGTCAGAGAGTACCTTTCATAGCTCTTTATTGTTCAAACAGAACACTTCAAGATAAGAAAAGTGGAGTGACACTGTTACGCAACAATTAAGCGGCTATCAGGATGCTAATAAGATTGAAAATGGCGAGGACTTTTCTATCCTGGTCCTATACACTGACCATGGGTTTAGCACAAGGTGACGTTAAGAGTACGGCCAATTAAACCTTTTGAATGAGAGATTTTTTAATTCATTCACTTAATTAACAAAATGTGAGGTTATTAAATATAATCGATGTTACAGTATAAACTTTTACATTCATATTTTTCATGGGATATTCTAAAATTACAACTGCATGATCTGTTTCAGTAGCGAATACACAGTCGAGAAATTCACTGAATACCACTTTATATTGGCAAAGACCTCTTTAATTTGTAAAATCAGCTAAAATTAGTGTAATGCATAGCTTATATTCTTCTCTACTGATGATTATTTTAACACTTTTGATATTTGTTGGTTTTCCTAAGTGTAAACTTAAGTTCAATAAACTTCTTTTACTCTTCATTTTAACAGATAAACTAAACCCTAACGAAGAAGTTTTTCTTTTTATATTTCCATGACATGTTGTCACAACTGACATATATTTGTGAACAGAGTTGCTTTTACGGCAGAATAAATTTTTAAAGGTGTGGTTAAAAGGTCGAACATGCAGCATGCACTCTTCTGCATGCAACTCTTCCTCTATCTCCACGCAATCAATTCCTTCAGATCAGCTCGCTTGAAAATTATTTATTCATTCTTTTCTTCCTAAAGTATGTGCTTTGCTTCTAAAAGACTCTTTTAAAGATTTTCAAGTGGGATATCGATTGGGTTTCTAGGGTTTGGAGCCTTGCGAAATATTATCTGTAATATTCCTGCTCGTATTTCTGGCATCCGTATGGCGTAGACTATAGGATTTATTAGCGAGCTGGTAAAAACAAATGTTATCACTGACATCTCAATATGAAATCGAGACTGACCGAAAAACATGTAAAGCAACCGGGGATTAAAATGTGTAAAGCCCCAGAATACCATCATCGGTAGAAACGTTATTAACGAACCAAGGGTAACAACAAATAATGTTCGAGTCAACTTTCTTTCTCTCAGGCAGGCTGCACCATGATTTTGAAGACGACAACTAGAACGTACTTTGAGATAGATAGAGATGTAGCAAAAGAACATGACAAAAAGAAGGGCAAAATAATATGAAAGGTAGATCAATTCGCAATTGACATAGCTGTAAGAACAGTTGTCTAGCTCTGATATAATGGAGTTTACGACTAGAGGCACTAACCAAGTGACTATCATGATCACCCCATAAACCCGTTTCTTAATAAACCGA